GTCATTAAAAAGAAACATTAGTGTTTAAACAGCTGAGTTTCTGAAAGCTCAGCAAAAATATTCTGGTCTGGAAATTTCATATTCAATTCCATAGTTTTACAATAAAAAATATTATAAATCAACCCCCAGGATTGTGTGGTCTTGAAACTAATGTTTCTCTCATAGCCAACAAAAATAAGAATAGTATGCTCATTTAAGCCTTTGCTTGGGAAGTGTATTTAATTTTTCAATTTGCAAACGTTAAAGTCATGTTTTGAACACAGAGTAGTCGACTAAAAGCAAAGCTTATCCTGTCTGCAAATTTAAACTGGACGATCAGTTTCACAGACACGTTGCTTTTTGGAGCAAACCTCTATTTAACACGGTATAACTTTGCAAGCCTTGACATAGTTAACAAATCATTTTGTTTTCATGCTGGTAAGTTTTGGCAGTTACTCTTAAGAAAGTACTGTACGTCTGTAGGCATCTGGCTTGGCTTTGAGCTGGTATGTCCATGTGCCACAACCTCAGCCCTGCGCTCAGATTTTGAAGGTTGGCAGCAGATGGGAGAGAGACGTCTTGTGCATATAGCCTTTGATGAAAGTTTTTTGTTAGGAGGTGAAGCTAGTATTCAACGGTTATTTATCAATGTTTTATATTTTCTCCTCCGAACTTATAGTGATGTAGGAATATCTGTGTAAATACAGATGTGGTATTGGGAGAAGAGAACAGTTAGCTAGGTACAGTCAAGGGTTAGCGGCCTGTCAACTCCGGCCAGTTAACCGAAGTTCTATAAGCCCCTTGAAGGTACAGACCCGGAGTGTAGTTTTGAATCTAATAGTAGGAAAGACACACAAAAAAGACGAATCACACTGCCTCACAAAAGGAATGCAACAAACAATATTTCCTTTGACAGCATGATTTTGAAGTCGGACGTACCAAACTTCCCTCTGCTATGGAGGGAATAATTTTGGGGTGTTTCTTTGTTTTATGATGGCAGAATGAGGAGATCGCTTAATTTAGTCAAATTTCTGGCCGCTTAACCTTGATTGGGTTACAGGGCAATACAACCGCCCCCTGTAATCATATCTCCCCCCCATTACACCATGAGAAAAATGTTTTTCTTTATCATCCATTTTGAAGGTAATTCAATGCACTTGTGCAATAAGTTGTTGAGTCAGTAATACTCCATCTAATCCCTAAGAATGAAAGTGGTCTGCGTAAGCGTGATATGCACATTTATGGGTGAGGGATACGATGCCTTCAATCCCAAGGTCTTATCTTCCTTCCAGGCCTTTGCTTCCTTAAGTAATTTTCCCCTTTTTTCTTGCTTTTTTTTTTACCCCACAGGTGATGTCCGTCTGACTCCCGAGGACTTCACCAGAGCCCAGAAATACTGCAAATACGCAGGCAGTGCCTTGCAGTATGAAGACGTCATCACCGCCGTCCAGAATCTGCAGAAGGCCCTCAAGTTATTAACCACTGGCAAAGAATGAGGCCGTTGTGCCGAGTGTCTCTCTCCGGTTTATCTGGCCGTAGGAACTGAGAGGCCATTACTCCAGCGCTGGCTGTATCAGAAGAAAGCAATTCTGCCAAAGTCCTCATAATCACTGTAACAACAATGGCGTCTGTGTCCCTGTACTGGATCCATGTATAGCACTCTTAGTCGTCAACCGCTAGAGAAGAACAAGTAAAAAAGTTCATTTCATTTAAGTATGCCCTTTGTACATTCTTTTTTTTTTTATTTAAACTTCTGCTTGCATGTATGTTTTGCAAACATGCTGGGGCTCTGGTAGTCATTAGGGTTTTTTGGTTAAGATCTTAACATGCTCAGACTTTCTGCTTTTTACAACCATCAATAAAAATTGGCAGAAATCGCTTTCCCTGGTGTATCCCTGAGGACTCCTCTGCGGTTGAAGGATTCTGTCCTCTTTTTGCTTTGTATGAAGATATTTCCAATTAAAATTTGAAAAGACTAATATGTTGTTTACTAGTTTAATTAGCACATCATTAATGAGTTTTTGAGTTCATTTATAAAGGTCAATATGACCTTTCAACACACTGGAACAACGGAGAGGTTGAAAGAAAAAGAAATGTTGAAAAAAGGTCTCTTCTAGGTTTTGGCAGAATGTTCCATTCTGAGTGTTTGTTGTAGTGAACTGTTTTTGTTTGTATTCTGTACTTTCCATTTTATGTATGAGGTAAAACGGCACGTGTTTTAAAAAATGCCACAAAGTGGGAATTCAGCACAGGATTGTCTCACTTGTGTGAGGATTCATGCTCTGACTAACATGTTCTAATGGATTTCTCGGATTTATATTGTTGGGTAGCTGTATGTGGGGGGTGGCATGGTGCTGCAGTGGTTGGCACTGTTGCCTCCTGCCCCTGGGGCCGTGGTTCAAATCTTCTAGAGTTCTGTGTGTGTGAAGTTTGCATGTTCTCCCCATGCCATCCTGGAGTTTCTTCTAGGTTCTCTGGTTCCCCACAGTCCAGCAGCATGCTAAACGGAGGTACCATGTTGCCTGTGTGCGTGTGCCCTGTGCTGGGTTGGCACCCCATCCTGGGTTGTTCCCTACCTTGTGCCTGCGGCCTCCATGACCTTGGAACAGGACAAGCAGCATCAAAAGAAGGATGATAGTTGTATATGCTACACTCATTTGTTATGGTAACAAATCAGGGAAAAGGTTCAACTGATTTGTGTAAGAGAACTTACGGATGTGTTCTGGATACAATCTGCAGTTAAATCCTGACCATGGACATTTTAGTGAAAATGTTTTGTAAAATTAATCCATCTTTCCAAAAGCCTTCATGTGCCTGTCTTTGGGGCTTATAAATCCGTTTGATTATCATAGGCTTCCGCCTATGCTAAGTACCTGCAGTATATCTCAGTAAATGAACCCAGCACATTTGAACTGTTTATCTAGTTAAACTTAATTAAGCAGACCTTCAGTTAGGCTCCTGTTCGTTGTCATTGTGCGTTAATGTTTCCCTTAGGCTGTGTGAAGAATGTGATTTACTGCATTGAGAGTTATTAAAATGTGCTGAAACGCACGAATGGATCGCTGATGTTCACGGGGGAGGCTTGAAGCACACATGCAAGCGGAGGAATCACTGTATATTGAGAATGGCGTGTTTATAGACACCAATGGTGCAGACAGCTTCAAAAACAATTATCGTCTGTCCCAGTCAAATAGTACTTTCGCTTTCCAGTTGTGTAGTCTTGTTGTATAAGAGAAGCACCCGTGTTTCGAACTGCAGGTTAGCACATAAATTAAATTTCTAGTTAGGATGTTTGAAATAATGCGCCCATTATTACTTGGGTCTCTGTGTGTGTGTGTGTATATATGTGTGAGATAAATACTGACTGGTCCCATGGTTTCCACATCTGGAAGTTATGAAAAGTAGTTGAAAAGCAATACCCTAACGTTGTATTCGGGACGTCATGAATATGATGTATAATAGGTGGTATCAGCGCGTGGGGCTACATCCATAATTAATTAGCGAGCTCGCGCTCTCGCCTTGTTCGGTTCACGTTTCTCATGCAGTGTTGCATCCTGCTTTTCCGTGAGGGCACTGGCTTATCTCCCAATCGACTCCGTTATCACCCCCAAGCGTCCACATTTGCCTGCCTCCCTTCCTTCCGCATTGCAGTTTCAAAGGTGTGATGATGCAAATGAAAAATTCCAGGGGATTTTTCCATATACATTTTTGTGGGTTTTTTTTTTCTTTTTGTTTGTTTTTCTGCGGGGGGTGCGGGGGCAATTAAGATTTTATTTTTGTGATTTTTTTATTGAGGGCGTTTGCTTGTGACTTCATTGTCCTTAAGATAGTCTTACTCCACTAGCTGTAACGGATTGACATTCTTAAGATACAGACAATATAAGCCACATAAGCTGACCGATTTCTTAATTTTTAGGGTGAAACGAATCGATCTTACTGGACGAACTAAATTGCAAATGCCATCTTGTGAAAAAGCACACAGGTCATAATCTGACAAATATTAATGAAGCGTTATAATTACTTATAACTTGCATATTACTTATACCCTGTAGCTATGCCACGAGCGACGAACACAATAAAAAAGGATAATATGTTATACGATGATTAAAACGTCTAAATGAAAGGGAAGTTTTAATGAGTTGCCATTGGCTTTTAAGTGATGGAGTGAACTTCCGGAAAACGTGTAAATGCTCGGAATTTTGGGGTGTGACTACCTTCCTATATTATGCCAATCCCAAATGAGCTATCCATTGTCACTGTGCAGTAATTTTCCGGCCCTTGATTTTGTAACTATCTTTCTATTTATAGGGTTCCAGGCTCACGTCCCATATATAACAGGTGCTCTTAACTAAGCCCGAAGTCTTAGGCTGTGCTTAGCTATGGCTACGCACCATTACTGTCTTTGATCGACTGACAGGGATGATAGAAATCGCAGGGATTTTTCAACAGTGTTCTCTAACATGTGCATCCGTTCATTTTGTTGACGTAAAGTTTAGTTTATTGAATAACTCATGAATAACACAACTTAAACACCGAATTTCGCCGTTTACGACGCGCTAAAGAAGTAATGATTACCGTCGATCTGATGAATCATGTAAATCTATGGGTTGAAATCAAAATAAGTAAATTTAATGCACTAAACGCAATATGCAAATCCAGGTTACCGATTTTTCCACCCGAGCTAATCTGCAAGGAAGATCTCTATTACTGACGTTAAAAGCAAATGTCTAGCATCTTTTACACCATTTCCTACTATATATTAATTTTTTTAACCCGCGAAGCGTATTATTTCAACTGCAGGAACTTAATTGCGCCGCAGAGTAGCGGAGCCAGGCGCAGTTACATATAATAAATACTGTAATGTGAGTCTTTATTCAAACTATTGCATTCTTTAGTATCCGTGTACTTTTTACATACTCCTTGACATTTTATGGAGCGCATGTTGTGGTCTTCACGATTTTAGCAGATTGAGGTCATTTCTGAAAGTTCAGGAATATGGCTGATGTTTTCAGGGTGGGGCGCCAAGAAGAACAGCCTCCAGCGGCGGAGCCCCGTCCAGCGACCGTCCGGCTGCGCGTCGCCGCATCTCCACCGGCGCAGCAGCTTCAGCAGCACTAAGACACCGACGTCTCGCTCACAACATTGTATTCGCGTGTTTCCTTGAATGCGGATAATAGGGATAACGGTCCAAAAACGCCGTCGGTAGTTACAAAGTTTTCTGAGGCAAAAAAAAAACTTCCATGGACGGAAAGATTGAGAAATAATGATTCTTCAAAGAGATAACTGCCTCTACAATAAAAGAGCATGTAAGTACAAAGTTTACGGTACTTTTTATGCAGTTTGAGTGGAATCCTGTATTTCTTTTTACTTTCTGTCTTTTTCTTGTCTTATTGTTTTTTTTGTCCTTGGGGTGTTTTGGGATTGTAACATAAAGCGTTTTAATGCTTCCATAAAAACCTGTTCTACTCATTAGCTCAATTACGTCTTACGAATCATCTCTCAATTTATCTTTTAAGACACCTAAGTGTGTTTACATTAGGTTTCTGTAAAACTGAACTTTGACATAAGTGGTAATGTGATATGGGACGTTACTGAAGATCTTATCTCGTCAAAAGTGTTTTCATTCTGAAGCATTTACGATCATAAAAATAAAAGTTAGTTGTAAAACCCACAAAATGGATGTGTATGAGCCAGCGGACTGGCGAAGTCAGTGCTGGAATGGGCGCCTGTACTTCTGCAGTTTACTGACTTAAATCCCATGAGGAACAAAGCTATGGAATATAAATTTATAATATATGTATATGAAAAATGTGGGTATAATTACAGCATCGACAACACATTTCTCCGTCATGCTTCTTTGAGGTTGGGATACCAGATTAGCTGCTAGTTTTATAAAGCAAATGTGGAATTTCTTATAGAGATTACAACCAAATTACAGGATGTGAAAAGTACTCATGAAAAAGCAATTACATTGAATGTGGTTCCTGACCCAGATGGTTTACAAAGCCTACAGACAGTTATTATATCTGTTATTAACTGGCTGCAATAAATTGATGCGTATGCTCGTGTTTCATCTGATAAGAAAATATGGTAACACTTTACATGACGGGGCACAACTAATATAGTCTTATGCTATTACTTATGTATTAATTAACCACAAGCTAAGCGTTAGTCACATACTTCTCTCATGTTCCCTTGTAAATGTACATTTTAAGGTACAGAAATGATCTCTGAGGAACATCCCGAAGGTACAAACAGCATTAATGTACCATCAATGGTACAGAAGTGTTCCTTTAATAACTCTATACAATTATACTTTACAGCTCCAGTGACAAGCAAAGGCACAAATTTGTACCCTTTTTTCTGAGAGGGTATATCTATTAATTCTATAAATCTTTCTGAACTACTGAAGGAACACGTCATGAATAACACAACTTAATCTCATGTTTGTTCATCATTAATGAATCTGAAGTAGCGTCTATATTTGTTCATGATTTGTACTTTACTAGTAACTGAGTTATTACTAAGTATTTGTGCCCCATCAAGTAAAATACTACCAAGAATGTGTTCTGATCAGGATGCTTCTGTGTGGTTCTAAATCTCTTTGGTCTCTTTGGCCTATATCAGTATTTGTAAACTTCAATACATTTCAGAAAGATTAGCCTGTTTTTAAAGTAACTGTCGAATAAACATTAGAATTTGGCCAATCTAATCCAATAAAACAGTGTGATTAAAGTATGCCTGGATGTAAACTGGATTCAGACCCAATTGCACCTTAACTAAAGACTGTTTTTTCTGTGCAAACAAGATAATGCTCTTTACGATAATCTGAAGTTGTAAAAGATTTCTTAATTGCTGAAGTGTGTGTACCTTATAACTTTCAGATATATATATTACCTGGCAACAGCTATGCAGACATTTGCACAGAGATGGCCTCAGTTTGAGCAAAGAATGAATCCGCGCAGCCTTTGCCTGGATGACAATTTTGTCAGCGCTCCACACTGCTATTGTATGTGGTGATTATCGACTGTAACTGCGACGCTTATAATCTTAAACAACATTCAAGTTTTTAGCTTAGATGGTGGAATTCCTGTGACAATGAGAGTTTTGCTAGGAACCACAGACTGGTTTAAACTTGTAAATCCCATCCAGTTGGGGACTTAATGCACTTGTCATTGGATGAATCAGGCTCTTTATGTGGCTCTTCTACTCCTCCAACAGCAAGGCGGCAAATATGCAGTATTTGCATATTTATAGGAGACGAGATCCGCTTAGTGCTGTCCAGTTGTTTCGTAATAACAGTGACTGCATACATTAAGTATCAGCCAATTCATTTCAATAATTGGTAAGAAAAAAAACAAAGAAAACATATGGATGCTTTGGCCAGAACAGTCTTACACAATCTCTCGGTGAGACCTACATGGATTTGTAGGGAAAGTTATTATCTGTGCCTAAAAACTCAGAAACTGTCGAAATATGTGGCTTCCGGGGAACTATGGGTAGATTTACACCTTATTCTACGGCACTAATAACATCATGTAAGTAAAAAAAACGATAGACTTCTGTCACAATTACCTGTGGTATTTCTGTGGTCTATTCAAATAGAAGAAGCAAGTGCTATCATTCTTTTTCATAACCCTTAAGATGAAAACATACATGGGAATGAACTGTAAGGACGAAAATAGTATCTGTTGGTTGAAAAAAAATATGATGGCTGAGCTGTAGGTTTTGGGTCGATGGCCTCTTAGTCTCCTCTCTGTCAGTGCTCCTCTGGCACATGAAGAACCTGAAACTGAGATTTACATTCACCTGACACTTTCATTCAAAGCAACTTACAATAGAGGGAACGTTTACAATTCATGTGTGTTCACTGGGACTTCAACCCATGACCTTAACATTGATAACACAATTTTGATTTACTGAGCTACAGGAAGCTGTATTAACATAAAAACACTATAAGCTTCCTTCCCATACCTCAACTGATATAGTGGCTAATAACCATTTACTGGAACACCTTTGAAAAAAACAAGAGAAAGACCTCAGTCCTCATTCTCATAATTAAATAGCTTAATGTCTGTAACCTGGAGTCAGCGAATATGTCGTACATTGAACCTGAAGTTAAACCTTTTCAATACCGCCTAGAAAATTAAATTTATATAGATCCTGAAATGAGTCACCTTTTCCAATTATACATTAAATAAATGTCTGGATGAAATGTATTTTTATATTGTTTGTTTAAATACATGTTTATTGATGCTGGAAACAACAATTTAGACTTTACTCAATGGGAGCAGATGTTTATTATTCTTTCTTACCCCATATTCTTGGCTGTACTATACTCAACATAGACCAGGATCATTCCACATAGACAAGGAGGTGGTCAGTAAAGCCAGCAGCTGCATTACACAGAAAGGCAGACAGAGTAATCCAGTCCTGGAACACCTGAGTTGTTCTCTGTTGACAGAGAACAGCGACTCTTGGCAAAGGATTCCTCAAGTCCATTATTCTGTGGGATTTTTGCACTAGAATAGGATTAGTTAATACAGTGTAACCAACCTCAGTTAAATGGTTGGAGTAAAGAGTGATGCAATCCCCTACATGACTACACAGATATTTTAAGTGACATGCAATTAAAAACCTCTTCTTCCCAGCAAATGTGACATGCTGTACTTAAATCACACCTTTTAGGTTTTCGTTTGTTGCTGGTTTATTGGTTAAAGTAGCAGCTACAGGTTAATGAAAAAATATGGACTCTTCAGACACTTGCAGATGTAAATATGTGGACACTCTACACAGTTCATATTTTTGTTGTTGACATCTGGAGGCTAATTGATGTCTGGAGGCTAACAGTTTAGCTGAAATGGGATAATGGACCACCGTTTTCATGGCAAGCTGCTTAAAAAGGAGTTGCGTAACAGAGGATTAAATTGCCTTCCTGAGTATCCTAGAGCAGGAACTTGTGAAGAGGTGTGTTTCTGGTTCTATGGCTTCCAGTTAACTGGTTTTATTACAGTTTTGCATGAGGAAATACAATGCTGCCCTTCTCTTTCAACGTTGTGCTAATGCATGATCTTCATGTGGTAGCATGTTAGTTTAGCCTTGTGCTAATGCATGATCTTCATGTGGTAGCATGTTGGGTTAGCCTTGTGCTAATGCATGATCTTCATGTGGTAGCATGTTGGGTTAGCCTTGTGCTAATGCATGATATTCATGTGGTAGCATGTTGGGTTAGCCTTTTCCTATACAATAGCTCTTTCATCACGATGACCTTCACTTTTCAAAATAGTCTATTATAATACATTTATATGTCAACAATTTGGGTCTGTGTGTGCAATATACACTATATGGTCAAAAATATGTGGACACGCCTATTATTTGGAGGAACTGCCTTATTAATCCACACCCATTGCTGATACAGGTGTTTAGCTCATCATACACTCATGCAATGTCCTGTGACAAACACAGGCAGCAGAGTGGGTGATTGTACTGGAGAGGCTGGTGACCTTCCACTTGACACCATCATGGGACACCATCCTTCAAACAAGTCAGGGTGCCACAGTTCTGCCCTGTCACAACTATCCTTGTGGTCTATGGTAAATGAAGTGAAGGTCAAAACGCCCGGGATCAAGTTCCTTTGTAAAGTGGTAGGGCCTGATCACCCAACCTGAATGGCAGGGAATCCCACAAGCAATGTTCCAACATGTAATGGAAAGTTTTGCCAGAAGAGTATAGGCCATTTTAGCAGCAATGGGCCAAGAAAAATAACACTGAGTTAGTGACACAATGTTGGACCATGTGGTGTCCACATGCTGTTGGCCATATAGTGCATGTGCAATATATATTGTGTAATATACTGTATATTACGTAATACATTTGGGTAATATTCAGGGTGCATAATATTGTGGCATGAAGTATACAATTAAACATGATTAAAGTTGTATGCCAGGCCATACAGCAAAATAAATTCCTTGTACTGGGTAAATGAAAGGATTCTGATTCTGGTAAACTTCTTTAAAGATTCAGACATACATCAAAATAATTAATAATAGTCTGGTATGTAGGCAGTTGCTGTATTTTTGTATAGTTTTTGTATAAAAATACTGTAAAAGCTTGTTTGATCTGTCAACATTTCCCTGTCGCAGTTCTCTTTCTTGGAAAACATTATACACAGTACAGTAATTTATTGTGTAGGTAGGCTATGTTTTATTAACGTGATCTTCCTAAATTTAGCTACTTCTGTGCTATGAGCACACAATTAAAATCTGTCTCCCAAAATTCCAAGCAAAATAAGAATGAAAAAAGGTATTGTATAGCGTATGTGTCTAAACCTGTGTACATGAGTTTGCATTATGTAAGTAGTGGCAATGTTAGAGTTCACAAAGCGGAACATCTGTGCTATGATAAGCAGGCTTCTGAAATAGCAACAACAGTAGCTTAACTCAAGCCATCGTTTCCTCCTTGTTCCGGAACACTAGCATATTGATGATTTTTTTTCTTGTTCTGAATTTGCAGGATGTCTCATATAAGCAGTAGATGGTGGAGATGGAAGTTAGAGAAAATTCTTTCACTTGCCTTGCTGTTAATACGCATTCAGGTATCAGGTAAGAGTGACTTTTTCTTACAGTAACATCCTTACGTTTTGCATTCGTTTTCAGTTTTTTTCTAGGTATTTTTGTTTGTTCGAGCAGTGTTTCCCAACCTGGTCCTTGGCAACCCACAGACAATCCATGTTTTTCATCCCTACCAGGAGCTGAGAACAAGCAAAAATGTGCATTGTCTGCGGGTCCCCAAAGACCAGATTGAGAAGCACTGCTTTAAAGAGATTAAAGCAAACTTATGCTGATGATTATTGGGAAATTTTTCTTTCATCTTCATGATGCTTTCCTTACATCCTACACATGTCTGCTACCTTTCTTTCTGTTCATTTATCTGTGTGTGCTTGCTGCTTTTGTCCATGGTGTCTACATCCCCATGTCTGAACTGCTTAATCACTAACATTCTCTGGCAACCAGTGGCTTTGAAGAAAGACTCCCGGGTTTTTTACTCAAGTCCAGAAAAATCATACGCAGGACACTGCTGAAGGAAAAAACCGCTCCCAAGCTCTGTCATTTCATTATAGGCCTGACAAACACAGTGTTTCCCAACCAAACGGGACATAGAGGTTCCTCTGTTGCTGTTGATTGGACTATGAGCGGATGCCATATGAAGCATATTCCTCGATTCGTCTGGAAAAGGCTAGAGGGACGAAGCAGTGATGGATGGCGTTAGAAATATTTATATTCCTTACCATGGACGTCAAAGACTAAAATAAACAGTTTTGGTTTTACTGGCGATGACAGCTCAGTCTAATTTATGATCGGGCAATTTCATAGAGTGGATTAAAAAACACCGCACATGCTGAAAAAAGATGGTTCTGGTGCATCTTTGGTTAAGATTTGGTCTGCTGTAAGCAAGAAATAAACGTAATAATAATGACGAGGTGACTGGGATGTGCTAGTCCGCGTTATGACAAAGACCTCAAGTCTGTCGCTAAGGAAGCCGTTTGACTTAATTTTCCAGAGTTTAAGATTACCGAAACGCATAACCCAATGACGTCACCCGTCATGCTGCTTTGTATCGGCACGGTAGTACTTTCTGTTGCAAAGTCCATGGGTTGGATCGATTAATTTAAATGATGAATGAATTAACGGAATACTGGGTTTGATTAACTTTTTTTTATCACTGCAAGACTGACAGAGGCAGTCGAATGGGTTAACGTACCTTCTTTAGTGCCTCGGAATGGCGGCAGCCGGCAGCATTACGCGCTTCTTTAAAAGCGCCTTTTCTTCTCCTGTGAGAAGTGTGTCATAGTATAGCTGGCCGTGTTTGTTCACATTGGCAGACTGAGCTGTGCCGAAACTTTTAAAGAGCTGGCGCCAATTCCGAGGTGGCTTGGATCGCGGCAGAGCCAGTGCTGGGAAATAATAAAAAGCCTGTGGCATCACGTTAGCGGGGAATCGTGTTGGTCTCGGTAAGGAGCACATTGCCACTTTGTCTACGCGCAGCCATCGACGCTACAGTCCCGGTGGGTTTATTAAACAGATCGTAGTGTTTGCGTGGACCTGTGGGGCGAATCCACCAGAGGGAGCCCCCACTGCTTCACCTTCCTGTGAGCCATGGAGTCATAATACAATGGTAAAAGTGCCCATAAACACGCCGTGATCAGTCAGTATTAATATCACCCCGTCATTGTTTATGGTTGGGATCCCAAGCATGACTTATTGGCACAAGAGTTTTTTTTTCTTCATTAAAAATACATTGACGAATTCACAAATTCATCCATCCGTTAATCATCCATCCATCTTCCAACGGGACAATGAATAATCGTTTTTCTTGTCCATGCTTAAAACGAGCCCTAGGGTCATAATTAAAACCCAGGCAGCCTCTGAATGACTCAGGCAATTAAGCAGCTGGTGACGGACAGGAGAGGTGGGCAGCACCTGGATACCTGGTGGGGTGGAGGGCAGGTGTGCGGATCACAGCCCCCTTGATGTGACCGCGGACACGGTCTTAGGATCACTGGAGCCGTGTCTCCCGTTTATCATTTTATTCTGGTCAAGCTGCTGCCAGTCTCTGATAGAGAGCTTCCCTGACCCAGTGATTAATGCCTCCAGTCATCACAATGTCATAAGCGACAAAATAATCAACAGCAATCAAAGTCCGTCCTTTGCTTTGAAGCCATCTAAATTAAATTTTGCAGTGGGCCAGTGCAGGGATGTGAGGTGGGGGAGTGGGGGGGGCAGGGGAGGATCACTGTTCTTTAATTGTTGCTAATATCTCAGGACCCCAAGGGCCATGGAGAAAACTGTACGTCAACATGTTGACATGTTAATGAAAGTCTTGCAGGTATAGCTTGTCAGCAATAAAAATGCATTGGTTCGCTTAACAAATAAACCATTATCTTAATTAAGGAACACTGAAGCATAATGCAAACAAAGAACAATTTGTGGTCTCCCTGTGGAGCAAGTTCGAAGACGAGCATCGCGATAAACAGGAACCTGGGCAGACTGGCCTGGGACCAGGCAGCTTGTGAATTTTTGCCCGGACCACAGGGATATATTAAACGTAGAAGAATCTTTTAGGCATGTTGTTTGTTCTCCAGTGTTCGTCTTGGGATCGCTGTTTGGCGCTTAACCCTGAAACAGCAAAGCACTGCGGTACTCATTTCTTTTTTTTGTTCCATAAACATAACCAAACAAGCTGTAAAAGTCTTTTATTACGTGTATTTTTAAAACAAGTGAATCAAAAGACAATGTTTTTTGTTTGTCTTCTGTGAGAATTATCAGGGATGTTGAGATTGGCATTTTTCTGGTGGTGTTTGACATTGCTGTCACTAATTATATTACTATATTGAGAAAGCAGTTAACCACTACATAGTTGCATGGGTTACTTGATAATGACTTTTCTTGGAGAAATAGCTTGCCCACAAGATTTTAGTGCATACGTAGTCTAAAATAAGAGGAGTGAATGGCATTTACGATCTGAAACCTCAGACAAACTTTACTATATGTGCCACTTTTGCCATAATATAATGGCACTGCATATATTTTGCTTTGCAGGAATGCAGTGTTTAATTAGCACCCATTAAATGGGTCAAAACAAATGATAAATTCTTTTTTTGTCAGCATAGTGTTTGTTTGGACACCTAATTTTATGGAGAATCGTTGTGCGGCGATGGGTGGCTGGAATTTCAGGGACCAAAGAGCAGGAAGGATTTAAGGCTGAAGAGTGTTAAAGCGAGGAAGACTAACTAATGAAGTGTGTTCGCTTCTGCTTCGCATTTCAGGATAATCCACCTCGCAATGCGTGATCCTCAGCAGGCTCATTATAAACTCAAGCAAATATTCAAGAATAATCGGCAGGTTTGAAACAACCACAGATGAATTAACGACGCGAGGCGAGGTTAAAAACACGTTTCTTATTCAAAATCAACCTCTGCTGCCAGATCTATCAGCTATGTTGCTGGTGTCCTGCTTTCTGTGTCAATATTTACACTGCTGTGCTTTTGTTTAAGGAATAATGAAATCCAGATCATTTCAAATTTGACCCACACTGCGACTCTCAAGGGTCCATACTCTCCTGAACGCTGAAGTCAACAGGGTAAACAATGGAACCCAAACAATGACCTTAAGTTGATTGGTTTTGTTTTTTGTTTTTTTTCCTTGAGGAATCTCCTTTTCTGGTGAACCATGTGATTCCCACCAGCGAATTGCTGATGGCTAGGCTTAAGACACCGGTAAATAAGAGATTTTTTTTTCCTTGTCTCCAGTTAATAGTCATCGCAGTGGCATTTACATTACAGTCATTTCCTCCTGGGGATGCAGGGAACGGATCCAGCATTAGCTCAATGCTTGCCCTGCCCCACAAAGCCTGCCCAGTCCGTCTCCCCAACGTGTTGAGGAAAACACGGCGTGAAGCGCGCCCTGCATTCAGCCCTCTGCTGATTCGTCACCAGCGTTACTTTTCCACTAGGCCGTCTTTCCATATAAAGAGAGCCGCCGTGGGTCAGACGTCACCAATCCCCTGTCAGCCACCGGTGATGTCACATTAGCTGTGATGTAAATGTAATACACAAATAACTTGTTCACCTTGTGTATTTATGCTTTTTGAATTTAAGAAGAGCCATATCAATAACTTCCTAATAATAACGACACTTTATTGATCCCCTTAAAGAAATTCCCCTTTTGGCTACCCCATCTAGCCCTCCATGACACACATATTGGTGAGATCATGCTTGGCACTGAAAGACAGTTACCTGCAGTGGCCCCCATGGGGGTTAAGGGCCTTGCTCAAGGGCCCACAGACATGTAACCATTTTTTTAGTTATATGATGTGGATATGGTGCCTCTTTCAGTGTAAAGTATCCGGGATACTGGACTGCAGTGCACTGAGACTGAGAGAAAAGGAAAATGTCTGCTTGAAATGGGGGTCCTTTATCACAGACTTGCACTTTATTCAAATTATTAGTTGGATACTAATAATTTCACAAAATCTTTTTGTAGTTAAACGTTTAAACGTCTCAGCTAACTATGAAATGGAGACCACTGGTGGAGACAGTGTCACTGGGCTTGGTTAGTTTTGCGTTCTTCGGTTACAATGTCACAAGTGTTTTGTTAAGGTTGTCCCCAGAGGTAACTGTAGACTGTCAACGGGGTTTTTTTTATGTCACCATGGGAGGCAAAACAACATCTTGAAAAAGGTGTGCTTTGTTGTTGATAATACATAGATTTTTCTCGGTCCATTAAAGATAGATCGGCTGCTGTTGCTCAATACACATCCTTAAGGTTTTGAATCTGTATGCTGGGTTGGTAGAGAAGAACTATTCTGACTTGTAACCTGGACGCCTGTTAAATAAAAGAATTCCAGGATGATTTAATACTGGGACCCTGTTTCAAACATAAGCTTAAGAATAAGGTGTTTTATGCATCGGCTGCCAGAAAGTACGTCCGGCCGTGAAGACCTGCACTCCGAAAGGGAGGTGACACCGGGTGCAGAACATACCGTATAAGGATGATCATGAAACCGGACCACGGATTCATTGTGTGGGACAAAAAAACATCTAAAGACTAAGGTTTCACAGTTGATGGGCTGGCAGAGAATCAGACGGTAAACAAAAAATGAGCGCTCTTTGTTGTCCATAACTGTAGGTCTAGTTTATTCTGATGCGGATTTTCCTTGGTGGGCTAAGCGAGAGGTCTGGTGTCCCACTCCTCGAGTCTGATCCTGTGTCTTTGCTTTGAAAACACTTGGGAATTCCCTGGGTTTCAGTGTGTAACATCCCTGTTCTAATTACAGAAACAAAGAGACTTTCCGAATCTCTTTGAGGTTTGCTTCCAGTATCTCACATATTTCACAGTGCATATAGGTGAATTTTTTCCTTCCAGATCAAGTTTTCATGTGTAAAGAAACATAAAAGGCTTCAAATTGGTTAAAAGAATTTGCTTAGATTCATTCTCTTTACTTAGATGCTTTTATCCAAAGTGGTGTCTTTTTTTTCGAAAGTAGGGTCAACAAGTCCCTATAGCAATTGGGGTTAAGGACCTTGCTGAAGGGCCCAATGGTGGGATCACTCTGTCGATCCTGGGATTTAAGCCGGCAGCCTTCTGATCGCAGGCACTGTGTCCTAGCCCGCTGAGCCTGGCGGACACAAAACATGTAATTCAACCATTTTGCATGTTCAGTAATGACGTCTTGAATACTTGGAATTGACATTTGTTTTTAGTTCTTAGCAGTTTGTGGTATTTTTCTCATTCACATTTTATAAGTGCTTATGTACACTGGTTTATAAGTTGGTTTACAAAGTGACTGAACAAAATGTAATTTCTCAGGAGTGGACTTTTCTTTGGTGTTTGCTGTGGTTTCTGGCTCCAGTGTGTTGTGGACCTGGATGAACAGAAGTCATTGTTTTCTAAACCAAGACCCCTTTCCAACTCATTAAAACTGTACTCTGCAAGTACTCTTCAGGTTACCTTTTAAAGCTTAGGAGTGGAATTTTTAAATATTTACTTTGGGATATTTTTTTTTTCCCCTCAACATGTCCAGTTCATATTTTTAACAGCATCTATGAATGTGTTCTCCTTTTGCTTTAAATTCTCAACCTTAGACCTTAAAGGACATTTTTAGTACAATACAGAAAGTAATACAAGATGAACATTCTGTTCCTTGTAGTATGGCACCTGGATCTATACATATTAAATTATTAATAGCTGTTTAGAAGACATGCAGAACATGTAACATGATGCAGGTAACACTGTTGTGTACTCTGCTCCACTAATACTTTGTTTGTCCCCCTTGGCCTGACTGTACTGCTGCCTGTGTTGTCTTCATTGTCCCCTTCCTTGGACTGTCCTTGCTGTCCTTGTCNCTTGCTCTTGAGTTATATACCTGCAAAATGGCGATTCGACCCAGAATACACTGCGACTTTAGCGAGTGTGACATCAACTGTCAAAGACCGATTGGTGAGATCATGCTTGGCACTGAAAGACAGTTACCTGCAGTGGCCCCCATGGGGGTTAAGGGCCTTGCTCAAGGGCCCACAGACATGTAACCATTTTTTTAGTTATATGATGTGGATATGGTGCCTCTTTCAGTGTAAAGTATCCGGGATACTGGACTGCAGTGCACTGAGACTGAGAGAAAAGGAAAATGTCTGCTTGAAATGGGGGTCCTTTATCACAGACTTGCACTTTATTCAAATTATTAGTTGGATACTAATAATTTCACAAAATCTTTTTGTAGTTAAACGTTTAAACGTCTCAGCTAACTATGAAATGGAGACCACTGGTGGAGACAGTGTCACTGGGCTTGGTTAGTTTTGCGTTCTTCGGTTACAATGTCACAAGTGTTTTGTTAAGGTTGTCCCCAGAGGTAACTGTAGACTGTCAACGGGGTTTTTTTTATGTCACCATGGGAGGCAAAACAACATCTTGAAAAAGGTGTGCTTTGTTGTTGATAATACATATATTTTTCTCGGTCCATTAAAGATAGATCGGCTGCTGTTGCTCAATACACATCCTTAAGGTTTTGAATCTGTATGCTGGGTAGAGTAGAACTATTCTGACTTGTAACCTGGACGCCTGTTAAATAAAAGAATTCCAGGATGATTTAATGCTGGGACCCTGTTTCAAACATAAGCTTAAGAATAAGGTGTTTTATGCATCGGCTGCCAGAAAGTACGTCCGGCCGTGAAGACCTGCACTCCGAAAGGGAGGTGACACCGGGTGCAGAACATACCGTATAAGGATGATCATGAAACCGGACCACGGATTCATTGTGTGGGACAAAAAAACATCTAAAGACTAAGGTTTCACAGTTGATGGGCTGGCAGAGAATCAGACGGTAAACAAAAAATGAGCGCTCTTTGTTGTCCATAACTGTAGGTCTAGTTTATTCTGATGCGGATTTTCCTTGGTGGGCTAAGCGAGAGGTCTGGTGTCCCACTCCTCGAGTCTGATCCTGTGTCTTTGCTTTGAAAACACTTGGGAATTCCCTGGGTTTCAGTGTGTAACATCCCTGTTCTAATTACAGAAACAAAGAGACTTTCCGAATCTCTTTGAGGTTTGCTTCCAGTATCTCACATATTTCACAGTGCATATAGGTGAATTTTTTCCTTCCAGATCAAGTTTTCATGTGTAAAGAAACATAAAAGGCTTTAAATTGGTTAAAAGAATTTGCTTAGATTCATTCTCTTTACTTAGATGCTTTTATCCAAAGTGGTGTCTTTTTTTTCGAAAGTAGGGTCAACAAGTCCCTATAGCAATTGGGGTTAAGGACCTTGCTGAAGGGCCCAATGGTGGGATCACTCTGTCGATCCTGGGATTTAAGCCGGCAGCCTTCTGATCGCAGGCACTGTGTCCTAGCCCGCTGAGCCTGGCGGACACAAAACATGTAATTCAACCATTTTGCATGTTCAGTAATGACGTCTTGAATACTTGGAATTGACATTTGTTTTTAGTTCTTAGCAGTTTGTGGTATTTTTCTCATTCACATTTTATAAGTGCTTATGTACACTGGTTTATAAGTTGGTTTACAAAGTGACTGAACAAAATGTAATTTCTCAGGAGTGAACTTTTCTTTGGTGTTTGCTGTGGTTTCTGGCTCCAGTGTGTTGTGGACCTGGATGAACAGAAGTCATTGTTTTCTAAACCAAGACCCCTTTCCAACTCATTAAAACTGTACTCTGCAAGTACTCTTCAGGTTACCTTTTAAAGCTTAGGAGTGGAATTTTTAAATATTTACTTTGGGATATTTTTTTTTTCCCCTCAACATGTCCAGTTCATATTTTTAACAGCATCTATGAATGTGTTCTCCTTTTGCTTTAAATTCTCAACCTTAGACCTTAAAGGACATTTTTAGTACAATACAGAAAGTAATACAAGATGAACATTCTGTTCCTTGTAGTATGGCACCTGGATCTATACATATTAAATTATTAATAGCTGTTTAGAAGACATGCAGAACATGTAACATGATGCAGGTAACACTGTTGTGTACTCTGCTCCACTAATACTTTGTTTGTCCCCCTTGGCCTGACTGTACTGCTGCCTGTGTTGTCTTCATTGTCCCCTTCCTTGGACTGTCCTTGCTGTCCTTGTCCCTGATTGGTTTTGGAAGTCTTGAGTGACGTTGCTCCTACTGTGGTTTGGCAGTGCTGGGCTGTCAGGTCGATTGCAACCAGGTGCTGGTCGCACCAGAGGGATCCTTTTCGTCCCCCTGCTACCCCAGAGATTACCCCAAAAACCAGGCATGCAGGTGGACACTGCAGGCCCCAGCCGGGTTTGTCGTGCAGATAACCTTCCTCGACTTTGAGCTGGAGGAGGCGCTGCGGTGCATCTATGACCGGCTCGTAGTCAACACCGGCAGCAACAATGTTTCGTTCTGCGGTTTAACTGCCAACGGACTGAGCCTCAACTCCACGGGGAACTTCATGGAGGTGTCCTTTAACTCGGACTTTAGCGTTCAAAAAAGAGGCTTCAATATCAGTTACAGGCAAGGTATGTTGACAGCAGGCAATCGTCTCTTTTTAGATATTTATTACTGTTTATTTTTGTTCTCATTGTTTATAATTGTTACGCCCCTGGTCTCGGTCAGGTGGCCGTAACAGGTAACTTGGTTTGTTACATAAAAATATTCCAGTTTGATTCATTTTAAAATCTGATATGTTTTTATTTATTTGTTTGCTTCTTTTTCTGTTTCTTGCTATGCGTTTGCATGATTTATGGGGCAATATTTTAATCCCTTTTAGTTTAATTCCTCCATCCTGAAAAACTAATTGCCTGGCCTGACACATAAATCAAACTTCAAAACTGAAAAGAATTTAATTCTAAATACAGAGAAGCCATTAACATCTCTGTATGCACAAAAGTGATCGTTTGAAGGCTGAGCGGGGGACAGAAGACAAAAAATGCAGTTTGACAAATTGCCCGATTGTAATGACTCAGATAAAGTCAAGACAGATAATAATGCTGTGGTAAATGCATTGGTGTGAATGTCTAAAAAAATCAGAACTGTGGAGTTTTTCTTTTATTTTTAATATTGTCCATCAAGACCAAAGAGGACATCATCATCATCATCACTATCATCACTGTCATGGCTTCCATTAGCTAACATAGCTAAATCATTACTTTCCTCTAAAATTTCTGTATTCTGGCTTCAGTTCGTAAAGCAAAGAACATGCCCCTTTTTCCCGGCAAACTGCAATTCTTTAGATACTTTGGATTTCATCTGATTTAGGTCTCTGGAGTTTGATATCATCAACTGTACCAACTGAATACCATGCAAGCACATACATGTATGTATGTATAAACGTGGGTAAACCCTATTATTAGCTTTCCATACAGTTTTTAAATACCTTTTTAGAGACAAATCCTCATTTTTAGATCAATATAAATATTCAGAATATGTAAGTAAATTAAATATTGAGGCAATACACCATCCATAACTGTCTCTGGATGTTGTAATACTATGATAAAATGGTTACTTTAAAGAACATGAACAGCTTTGTCAAATTATTACCTTGCATCGAGTTAAAAAACCATAAGGCTGACAAGATGGACTGCCTCATAAGAGCCAATGCGAAAGTCACACATTGGTCACTGTGTTTTCCCTCTCCCGTGTTTCAGAAAGGTTTTCAAAGTCTTGAGACCAGTTTTACAGAAAACTGTAAAATCGTTGGGTAACAGCCTGTTTTTTTTCTCTTTTTCTTTTTCAAAAGGAAAACTGTTTTGTGGTCTGTTAGGTGTAATTTCAGCCAAGAAATCTGCTTTGCTTCTGTAATGACCATAGTTGCCATTAGTGAAGAGTCAGATTTTTCTCTTGATAGTGAAAACAAGCGGCTCCATTATGGAAAGTTACAGTGTGCAGTTTATAAAAGGCACATATATATACCTTCATACACAGTGTGCAAATATATAAAAGCAACTGGCAGACTAAGCTCCTGAACGAAGACACAGAAATTTTATTGTAGAACAGGAGGGGAAAGACATTCAGTAATCCAGATATTTTTAGCAATGTCCCCCAACAATAAATTATTTCTACAGATTACATAACTGGACCGTATGAGACACACTTGGATTTGAGTTAGAACTGCACTGGAGTACCCCATACGTCTCACGTTGGTAGTATCGTATTAGTATTTTACTATCCGCACCCTCCAGTTTTTTTCCTTCTCATTTCAGACTCAATGCGCCGTGATTTTGCAGCCGCCCAATCTATCGAAATCCGACGAATTGACGAAGCCAGTTGATACCCAGTGTCCTCTCGCGTCGCGTTTAGCTTTTCATATCCGACGGCCTTTGCAAAATGGGTACAAGATCGACATCTCTGTTCTAGCTGGGAGCAGTTACAGGGACACGTGTCACGAGGACATTGCGAGAGCCATCTGGTCCTCATTTCCAGTGAGGGTTGGCTGTCATTGACGATACATGCAAGCCAGTTACAACAAACTCACCGACCAGATCTGAAAACTATTAAAACGGAGCATATCAGCAAATGTAAATGATGTCCTTTTACAGCAGATTTTTACGCGCTGGAGAGCTTTAAATAGCTAGTGGGAAATAGAAAGCCAGTAGTTATACCATATCCAAGGTTCAGAACTATGAATCATAGAACAGCTAGAAAGAGAAAGACGCTGAGATACCTGGAAGGTAGATGAGCCCAGATCTTAAGACATCCAGGGCTCAGTCCAGAGCCAATCAATCCGAGGATTCACAAACAGATCGTGTTCCTGTTAAACTAATCACTGGGGGCTCCGGCCCCAAATGGAATGGAGACTACTGATTGTCTCGATGGAGCCACTTAGGGCTCCACTGGTTTTCCAAATACATAATAGTCTGAATTAGGTTAGCACAAGGGTTGAATGAAAGGTGATGCCCCCATGTCTGTTTAAGAGCCTATTCTTAGAATTATTTAATCTATTAAAATATGCCTATCTAGTCACGAGTAACAGATGTGAAGGCAATTCTTTTCATTAAATTCTCGTATAATAGAAATATTTATATTTGAAAGAATTGAATTTTTTTGCATTGGAAATTGCTTGCATTAATACAGCCATCTTGTAAGTAACAGAGATCTTTAGAAATTGCGCGTTTTGCATACAACCGCATGAAACACTGCACATTAGATCGACAAATGAGCTGTATTATTATTCCCTAAGGTGTCTGTCTTGTCTCCATTGTTGTGTGATGACTAAAGCTCTGTCTTTTTTCATTTGTATAGTTGCCGTAGCACTAAGGAATCAAAAGGTGACGATACCACAAAGTGCTGGGAAAACTGTCAAACTGTTAAGCCACGTTGCCATGCCGGCTCTCACGCAGTTCTCCATCTGCTTCGAGATAGCAAGAACAAGTCAAAAAGCAGACGAAACCATCTTCACGTACTCTGAGCAGAATACAGTCCTTATTAGCTTCGGACAGTCCAGCGGCGCAGGGATGGAGTTGAGCGTTAGCGGCGTAACCTGCCCGCTGGGCGCAGCCCTCAGCGCCAGCGATTTCACGTCGGCCATGAAGCCCTTCTGCCTCACCTGGTCCAGTTTATCAGGAGACGTCGGCGTGTACGTCAATGGCAATCACAAATCGGTGCCCTGTTCCAACTCCATTGGAAGATCCATAAAAGGTGGCGCGACATTCCAGTTGGGCGGCAAAACCAGTTTCGATGGATTCATTTATAATTTCAGAATGTGGGATTTCAATTTCACCACATTAGAGCTAAAGGCCCTCACCTGTGATACCATCGGCAATGTCTTCGACTGGGAATACACATTCTGGGATGTTCAGCCTGCTCACGTTCAAACTGACAGCACACTGAGCTGCAGTAAGTATGTCCATCATCGTTCGTCACTGTTAACCAACATGGTTAATGCATCTCTTTCGGTAAATGTTTGCATTCTGCCAGTGCTCCATTATATCATGTTGTGTATAATATTGTACAGTAAGTGTTTCTGCCACAAAACTATTTCAAATCCACATTGTTTGCTATGGCTGGAGAGAATGACGGACAAGCTTTCAGTACACAAAGACTGGGATTTCAGTTCTGGTCACTTTCGGTTCTGGTTACAATAGCTATTTGAAATTGCTAATATTTATTTTGTTCATTGTTGTCCTTTTCTTGAGATGTACAAACAGAGTAATGGTTCAATATTGTGTCTAGAACATACAAAACGTTCCTGATGACTTCTCACCAGCTGATGAAGAAGAACATGAGAATGATGTTACTTACACGATGAGATCCTTACTTTCTTACGGATTTTTGTGGAAAATAAGGGGAAATAGACTCTATTCATTGGTTAATTTCTTTATTATTTATTATAGATTACTTATTATTTATTTTCCAATTAAATGCTCCATACATTCATTCATATGTTAGATGAATGTGGTACATGAGTGACGCTTCATGCACAGAATGTTGGATTTCTAAAGCAACAATAAGTTCTCAGGGCTCACAGAATGTATTATTACCATCAGCTGCTCATCCCACCAGACCCTGCAGCTAGGAATCAGCTTCCATAACATTCCTGAAGGGCCTCACACTAGGCTATGGTATCTGTTACTGAATAACCCTATTTAGGAGTGGTGTGTTCGCCAAATTATCCAGGGTGGGTAACAGTTCAGGGCAACTTGGACTGAATCCCTTAAGCTTCATGCACCAAGGTAATCCAAACATGTCACAAACCAAGCATATCCCGACATCTCGCCCCCCCCAAAAAAGTGCACAACAATGACATCAGCAGTAATTCCAACATTAAGTAGACGACACTCTCTGGACAGCCGGCGACAGAGTGCCCTAGATAATGCTGAAGCTTTGGCAGAAGGTGGTCCGTCTCAAATGCACAATTTAGCAGGTACTTTTGTTCGTTTCAACACTCATGGTGATACATCAGATGACTGACAAAACACTTTCCGTCTTCTGCCTACAAAGATTGGTCCTATTTGTCCTTCTGTGAGAGAAGCTGCTTTTGCTGCATAGATGCTGCAGGTTAGGTGGAAACAGCTCAGTTATTAATATTATATACTTTAAGCTTCTGGCAAAAATTTGGGGCGGCATGGTGATTAGCACTGTTGCCTCGCACCTCTGGGACCTGGGTTCGAGTCTCCACCAGGGTTCCGTGTGTGTGGAGTTTGCATGTTCTCTCTGTGGGGTCCAGGTAGCCTGGTCTCCCCCATAGTCTAAGAACATGCTGAGGTTAATTGGAGTTCCCAAATTGCCTGTGGGGGTGGTAAGGGTTGGTACCTCTTCCTGGTTGTTCCCTTCCTTATGTGCACAGCCAACAAGATAGACTCTGGACTCCCTTCGGCCCTGAATAGGACCAGCAGTTACAGAAATGTGAAAAATCCTATTAAACCAAAACATTTCTTCACATTTTTTTTAAGTGCAAGCCTACAAATGCATATAAGGATAGGCTGAAAAAAATAGCCCTCTACGAGGTGTATAATGGGAAAAGAGTGTTATTCCTCATTAAAAATATGTTTGCCTTTAATTATTTTAATGCCATTTTTGTTCATCCCAGCTGAATGTTATCTATGGACTGCGCCGACGATTGATTTTAGCATGTGAAACCCATTTTGCTTCATGCTCTTGTTTTGAAATGCCTTTTTTGGATGATGCAACAGTGAAATTAAACGTACTAATGTTTAATCTTCTTTTACAGTCTGTTACCCAAATTGCACACATTTAACAACAGCTGCGCCATCTAGTGGTGAGTCTGCTACTAACCACCGGCTTGCTTGCTGGAGCTTCGTGATTTTTAATATCTGTCAAAAACATGCTTGTTTGCTGACATAAAACTATAAATGTCCTGATTTATAAAGTGCTATTTGAGATTCTTTGTTGATTTTCCATGGATGAGTGCCTAAAAAAAAAAATCGAATTAGGATTTTACATGAAACTGATTTTGATAGCAGCCCTCTATGATTAAACCCAAGACGGAGTATTCAAATGGACGTCAACACTTTTCAATATTCCTAGTCTCACTAATATTTGCCACATGTGTTCTTTGTTTTAAAGTGAAATTTAATTTTGTTGCTTGTGAGTCAGTTTTTAGAAGTTGATGCGCTTTTTAAAGGCTGTCACCCACAATTAAATCTCAGATGATCATATCTCATTAAGGACAATTCTAAAAGGACAAGAAAAGACCTTTAAACAAAAAAGGACGCATGAGTTTTGTTTCCACTGGGACCTCTTCATATGGCCCAGTACAGCCTAGTGAAACACTAGAGACCTACCAGTGCTCTCAAGATCAACCTGTACCATTTCTTAGCATTTTTTAAGGGATTACCAATCTAGAAGTAGGCTAATCCTGCTGCTAATGGCCTGGCTTTTGGAAGGCATATCACTAATCTAACTAGGCTTTCATCTACCTCTCTGTAAGCTCACAAACTCACTGTACGAGCTCATGTCATGGTTCGAGCTGCTTTACAGATGCTTTTTGTTGCGTAACCTACAGAGTTGCCCAATACCACTTTAAAAAATAATTGTTTACTAAAGCAATTCAGGTTTTCTTCTTCCAGGGTACAACAGCAAGGCTTCCACATGAATTTAAATCCACAGCATTATGGATTTTCAGTCTTACATCAGATCAGTACCTACTGCCTCCATCAGAATGCAGACTCCTTCCATAGTTCAGGGACAGTTTGGAGCAACCATCTCATCTCAGGCCTTGTCTTACCTAGACTTCAAGACAAGAATCTGAAATCCTATGTGACAACACTTAGAACTGAGAGTGTAATCTTTATACTATTCCATATAGCCTTTCTACTAAAGAGGTTAGGCCTTCTTCAGTAGTTTAGCTTTAGCAAATTAGCAAAAGTACATACTGTATATCCACAGCCTTGAGTCAGTCATTCTGTGTGTTTAGAGCCGTACTGTGTAATATTTACATTGCGAAAATGTTTTTTGAGTCCACAATGTTGTGTACAGTAAGTCACACATACTGCATCTGTACTGAGTCACTTGGATTATGTGTCATTTTAACTTCCTTAATAAGAGGCTTTATTGCAGCACAGCTAAAGGCCTTTGTAAGTTTTCATTACACCCCTAATAAAAGTGAGAGGAAAACAAAGACGGATTCATCTTGGAATGTCACTGTGTGGAAGGTCCGCACAGAAGCGGTGCAGCGTATCTGGGCCTGGTCTCAAAACAGTGGGAGCAAGATCAAACCTTTCGTCCTTTTCAACAAAATGACCATTATCTTCAGTTATTAAATCCCAAATGAATTCGACAGATTCTCCTGATTACTTGCTGAACGTCGTTGTGCTGCATTCCTTCTGCAAGGGTTACTGTCTCCATCTGATCCTCTTACAATGGCCTGAAACACAGGCCCTAAGAATGGCACACTTAGCATATCAGGGAAACATTTGCCGTGGTGTATGTAAATTTATATTTATTCATATTGAAGATAATTTCTCCAGTCCTTACAGATTCATAAATGCAAAATGGCAAAGAAACATGGATTATTCCTACACTAGAGGCCTAGATGCGTTTCAGTACTGTACTTTCTCTGCATAATTAAGGGCATATGCTACAGTAAGTTATTTTACAGTTATAACATTGGGAAACTGTGGGAAATATAATGGTTTATTTTATGTTTATCTTTAAGGTTCAACTTTACCTTCCATTTTGCCCACCATCTGTCCCTCTCCTGGCTTGAACTGCCCAGGTAGGAATCAAACTCACATTATCATGTATATCAATGGATATCCAACAGCATGTATTTGATACCTTTCAGGCAGAATATATCAAGCTCTGGCTTGCAAATGTACTTGTTGCACAGATTTTCTTTTTTTTTCTTTTAATTTTCTTTTTTTTTTTACTTACCTGCAAGATGTATTCATATAAGAAATTATACTCAAGAGCATTTCTGTTCCTCATAGTCAAAGATCTCAAATACTGTCTCTTATTCAGATTATTATCAATTTCTTATGTTTTTGTGAGAGAATGTTTAGTTTGATAGTATTTGATGGATGATGTACTGCTTAAATATGTATATATGACGATCATGATGTGTTTTCATAGTGTAAAGTTCTTGAGATCTTTCATCAAATCATTAGCATCCCTTCTGTATGTAAGAGCTATTGTACAGATGAGTGGACTGTAGGACTTTTGTAGTGCAAAATATGGATACATTTCTGGTAAGGATCCTTGAGGGGGGGGCAGTTGTCTCGTCTTTGCAGTGTTGCGTCGCCTTGATATTGTTGCGAACCCTTAGGCACCCCAGTGCATCCAAGTTTGAGCGACTGTTTTGTGTTTGTGCATGTGTTGGTATGCTTAGAAAGTCATGTGTCTGTCTTTGTTTGTTTGTTTATCAGTTGTTCATAGTTAAATGTGATTCGCAAAATGTTTGGCGTTCGAATTAGACAGAAGGAATCGTCAGGTCAAAGTCAGAAATGCGTCTTAGTAAAGCAGTACCAAACATGGCAAGCAGTACATTTTGTTAAGGTTACACTGGCTTGTATTGTTGGAGAAGGCCCACAGACGCCCACAGGGACCCAGCACTGAAGTTCTAGAAAACAGACAGAAAACTTGCACGACAGACTAGTCAGTGCACCGTGCATTTTTTATTTTTTTTGTTAATTCTCTGCTGTTGTCTGCCTGTCCTGTAAATGGTGGTTCATAAATGCTTGCCGTGCTTCATCAGCTAGAGATTTTGCTCCGTGTTTGCTTTTAAACGGTCCTCGTTTGCTATGCCGACCAGAGCGTTTGTTTTGCCTTTTGGCAAATCTGCCCAACTGTAATATTTCGCCTGCAACAAGCAGGTTACATTTCAGAAAGTTCCCGATCAGATGAAATTTCGGTCACTTAGGCTGCTCGTTCCCCAGGACCTGACAAACGTGCCCATCCATTTCCTAAATGGTTTATCTGGGTGGAAAGCACAGAAACAAAAAGTCAATAGTGAACCTTCATTTGAAGTGACTCCTTCTTATAAGCTTGGCATTAATTTATTGGGGGCCAGTTCCTGTTCATGCCAGCCAATCGGGTAATAAAGATATGTTTATAACCCGAAAAAGATATGTTTACCTGACATACAGTATGTGTGTGTGTGTGTGTGTGTGTGTGTCTTAAAGGAGAGCATGATGGGATACGTGGAGAGAAGCCTTCCAATGTACCTGTACGAATACCTATGCAAATGAGGGAAAAGCTTTTTATTAAAAAAATGTGACATTGTTACATAAAATCATCAAACTCTTAATACCATTTATTGCTTTGGTGCAGGGGTGGCCAATCTTATCCGCAAAGGGCCGGTGTGTGTGCAGGTTTTTGGGTTATCCTTTAGGTCAGCTGTTCAAACCCAGGTGTGAGGACTCTTCAGCCAATCAGTCCTCTAATTAGTGACCTAATTAGGGAGTTGCAGCAAAAACCTGAATACACACCGGCCCTTTGCGGATAAGATTGGCCACCCCTGCTTTGGTGAATACGTATGACATATACTAAAATACACAATATATATGTTTCATAAATTGACTAGATCATAAATGCAGCACAAAACAGATATTCAGTTAAGCAGAGATGCACATTTTAGTTCCAACATTTTAATTTATATTGAGTGAGCCTTTTCCTATCTCATTACTGCTTGTCTCTGTAACTAGTTCAGTCTACTACTCTTTTGTCTACAACCACAACTAACATTCTGACCAGGTCATCCCCTGGTAAGATCTCTCTTCCATTGAACATCTGTAGCTTTAGCTTTATATTTTCATTCATATTCTGCGGTTTATCTCCCTCATCTTACCTGTTTGTCTGTGTCACTAGTTCAACCCGATACCATTTTATCAACTACCATGACTAACATTCCTACCATTTCATCCACTGGTAAGCTCTATTATGGTGGATATCTTTTATTTTGGTTTCAACATTTGTTACTCATCCCTTGTGAGTCATTTCATGTATAATTTCTCCACTTTGCCATCTGTCACCACAACTATCACTTCATGCACTAGCAAGCTGTCTCTTTCTTTTGTCATATTCTGTTTTGGTTTCTGTATTTGTCAGTCATCCTTAATGAACTAAAGCACTAACAATTCCTGCTTGTCTGTATCACTAGTTCAGCCCGCTAGTCTTTTATCAACTACCACAACTAACTTATCCTTCACTTCATCCACTGGTAAGCTGTCTCACATTGGTCATCTTCTGTTTCAGTTTTCGTATTTATTAGTCATCCTTAATGAACCAAGACACTAACAATTCCTGCTTGTCTGTATCACTAGTTCAGCCCGCTAGTCTTTCATCAATTACCACAGCTAACATTCCCACCAAGTCAACAACTGGTAAGCTGTCTCTTACCAGTGTTTTGTTGTATTTCAATGAGCCCTGTGCAATAGTGATGCATTTGGGTTAATACAGTTTATTTTCACCTTAAATAACGGATTTACACAGGAAACACATCCATATTCTATTATAGACACCCAAATAGTCTGCAAATATTTATCTTTGCTGAATGGACTAGCTCTTTAAAGCCCAGTATTGATTTTTGGACAGGTTGTTCTTTATCGGTTGCTTTCCCGAGATATTCACTGCATTACGATGCATGTAATTCATGTCTAACCTTGTTTCTGTCCCTGCAACCAGCAACATCCTCTGTCACCACTAACATGCATATTAACTCAACCACTGCTGGTAAGCATCACATTTTTATCGTTTCATGTCATTGTTTAACCTTGTGAAGCCATCTTGTTTATTTGATAATGTATTGTTTCTCTGTGGACCATTATCTCTTGCGTATTTAGTGTTCAAATCACATTTTTAGCCTCATACAACGTACAAAAATTATACTGTAGAAAAACATTGTATTTACAGCATTTATGTGGACTTCATGTTGTATTTATTGTGTGGTTGTTAAGCTTACTGTAAGTTATTTCCCTTCTGAGGACCAATGAAGTAAAGCTTTTGAAAATAATTTCAGAGTCTATGGATCTCAGATCAGGATAATTATGAAATTTGTGCCGTGGGCTGCTATGGTTAAGAGTATTGCTAATTTTTGTAACAAAAGGAAACAATATGTTTGAAATGTAAGGCATGAAGAAAACAAGAGTGCTTTGCATGTTCTTTTTATGATTATGGTTCCTAGATTTTATGTCTAAACTCTTGTATTCAGTAAAGTTCATTTAGTATTGACATGGACTGGACAGAACTAAATATTACATTTAAGAAAAGCTGTCCTAGCGTCAAAGCTTTCACGCTGAGGGGGTCCCTCCACAAAAAGACCAATATAACTATCCATACATCACTGCTAATCCAGCTGCGAGTTGCGCTATGTCCTAAAAACAGAAAGTTATTGTAGCTCTAATTCAGTATTGCAGCATAGATAATCCTGATAAACAGCCTGGCATTAACTATTGGCTGCTGTTACTCACTGTTGCCAAACATTTATCCTATGTGTGCTGTCCTTGTCACCAGCTCAGTCCATTTCCACTACAACTACAACTTCTAATAGAATGCTTCTAACCAGCAATGTAATACCTGGTAAGATCCTCCAAAGCTGTTTCCAGGGTTTGTCAGGGTTTCTCTCTGGTCTAAGAAATACAAGAGCACTAATAGCAACTGGCATTTGTGTAATTCTTCAGTAAGTGCTAAGAGTAGAATCCTCTTACAAATATACTGTATCTTTTGGGGTACCTTCAGCAAGTGCTTGTTTGGTCAGTGTTGATGTTTAAAAATGCCAGTGTTCTTGCTTAATTCAGTGGATCTATACTGGTATTAGTTTGGAAGGTAAATATCATCTTTTGCCAGTGACTTTTCATTTTTATAGAATTTTCAAGAAAAACATGAGCATAATCACAATCTAAATTTAATATATTTAATCCATTTATTCTTCCAAGCATTTTAGCTCTATATGTGCACTTGTCCCAAAAGTATTTCAAAATAATGTAGCGTGTAAGAACATTTCAGCCTCACTGCCTCTTTTCCCCATGGCTAACACTGCCTGTGACTGCAATACGAATGACTTTCTTATAAACAATCAATTTTAATAATGCTTTTGATGTGTCTGCTTGCTCTTATATTGCTGTTGTCTTGTAATGGGTCTCAACACCTATTTTCACGCCCACTGACAGTCTCTGAAATCACCCCTGTTTCATCTACTGCTGCTGCAGCTCTCACACCAACAGCAATTAACGGCATGCCAAAGGGTAAGGTCCTGTGTTTGCTGCACCCAAAACCACTGCTGCTTGTCTCCCGAAGTACTTTAATTGAGCGTGATAAGGTTAGCGTGAGCCTCTCTCTTGTTACGGATAGCAAATTAGGCAGCGATTTCACTTTAAAATACATAATTCGCCCATTATGTTAATGATAATAGTAATACACTCCTGTCAGTTCGAATATTCTGCGTACATCTTTATGCTTCTTTGTTAAAGAACATAAAACCACACTGACAAAAAAAGTCACAAGTATTAAGACACAAGTAATAGTATCCTTGTTTATCAATTCTTCAGATGCACGTATTAAAATGATAGACCTGCAATCGCTTTCATTACATTCCATCTCTTTGTGTTATTGGAATCCTCATTCTGTCTAACACTTCCTGGTCTCTGCTTGTTTCTCCTTGTATATCTCACAATTTTGCAAAGGACAATGGCTTGATCTTGTGATTATTCTGGTGCAGATGTCTCCTCTGTTTAAACATCTTCTATGCTGGAATTTCTGTTGTTTTCTACTGGCCATGAGTATTAACCCTATCAACATAAATGTTTTATCTTTGCAGAACGTACTGCAAAATCTATCTTCATCCATGCATTATAACTGTCCCACAAAGTTGAATAAAGGATTATGTGTAATGTGTTTCGTAGAAGTCACAAAATTAAAAAATAATAATAATAAACTGAGAATTCACAAGAGAGAATCTCAAGTCGGGGGATAAGTGACCGATTACCATGTCTGGGGAGATTCTGGTGATTCTGGCAAACTTAGGCCATTGGTACAAAGAATATGAATACTTTAATGAAGAGCAGCTAATAAAGTTGACCTGGGAATTTAATGATCAGAGTATCACAAATAAACGTGTACATTTTTGTCCATTTTCTAAATGGGTAATGACACTCCCCTTTTTACATATACTGACACTAAAGGAGCTGAGAAAGAGAAGATGGCCAGTTTCTGGTCGCTTCTTCGGCACATTGAAGTAGTGACACCTTCCTCTACACCTCGTCCTAGACCTCACATCATCCGTGGCCACAGAAGCTCCAGAACGTTTCTGGGCATTATTTCCACACCTCTGATATGGCCTGTGAGGAAAAAGCCAGAAACTGTAACTAAGCCTCAAGACAGGCCAGTGATTTATTTGACTAAACCTCCTGTCCCTCACACAATGAGTGTAACGGATGCCTTCCCTAAGCCCAAGGTGGCCACAACACTGTCGGTTGCTAGGAAAACAAATATGATGTCCAGTAGCACAGTGGATTCAAAGTTACTGCTCTCGTGGCAACAGGCACATGTCCGGAACCAGAGCACGGGTGTAGAATCCTTTCAGTTGGCCTCACACGGCAATCGCAAGAATAAGCCACTCACTCCACACTGGGCCAATGGTGTTGGTGAAAACAACACTCACACTATTAACTGGACAGAGCCCCGGGAATACTCATCTGGTACAGAGGCTCTTGTTTTTGACATGGATGCCGAAGAGGGGGCTTTTAGCTTCTATGACATTGATTCGTCCTACTCTCCTGGAAATGATTTAGCTGTGGTCCATCGCAACCCTTCTCAAACCATGGCAAGCATCCAGAAGATAAGCACAGCAATTGCAACCGTTTCTAAAAAGGCAGCCGAGGAACATCTCAGTCGGGCGGATTCCTACCAGCCCCAGGACTTGTCAACTAAGGATACGACAGGGGAAACACCAGGTTACTTGAAGCCTACTCAAACATTTACAAGAATTCCAGGAGGAGCACTTATACAAGCCGTGAACACAAGTGGGATGCACAAACAAACATCTGAGAAAGGTTTTCAAGGTCACCAGCTTACTGTGGCACCTACACCTGTTGAGTGGCCATTACAGAGCACCAGAACTTTGAGGGCCTCACCATTGAGTGACTTTGAGGGTCTTTTGGCAGCAGAAGGAACAGTATCAGCTCCGACAAACAAACAAATCATAGCTCAAGACGTTACTTTGAGAAGTTCGTCAAGCTCCAGCTCTCCTCAGCACATATATTCTTCTGCGGTCACCTCAGGCAGCACATCTTTGTTCCCATCATTCTCCACCATGGAAAGTGAAAATAAACTTATTGATTCCATGGATACTCACTCCCCGCTAAGAGAGTATGTGGAAAGCTTGCCTGTATGGCTTCACAGTGAATTATTTGTGACAGAGGTTCCAAGGACGGACTCCGTGTCCCTGCAACAAATCAATAAGGCTACTTCTTCTGTAATATGGGCTTCAATGGAAACATATGGCCCTGCTGACAGAGACAATTCCGAACAGCTTTCACGGTTGCCAGGGTATCAATTTCGGCTTGCAGAATATCCAAGGTTTCAAGGCAGCCGTTCTCTCAGTCCTTCCAGTACAATTCCATTTGAACTACTAGGTACCACTGAAATGTCAGCAGCAGATGGGCACCTAGAATTAGATTCAGCTCTAGGTTTGGAGCCATCGCTTGTAAATAGTTTGACACAGGCTTCATTCAGCAACCCTGAGGGATTCTACACCAATCATCCTTCAGATCTGGGTATGAGAAAGGGGTCACATTGGGCTCATTCGTCTGTCAGTGACCTCACAGATCTGCTGCATTATGCTGCTGTCACAACAAATGAGTTGACCTCTCTGTCCTCGTCTGACAATTCCGACCCCCCAACAGGATTCCCCCATGCCACAGTATTGCCCACGTTTAGCATGCTTGCTAATTTTTTCCAGACAAGCTTTCTACAGGAAACAGCATCATCATCAACAGAACAGGCCAAAAGGACAAACAGAAATTCGACCCTTGAAGAATTCACAGTGTTTTCAGCTGGTACTTCTCCTCTCCCATCCTTACCCTTGGACACCCAAAGCAGCACACGTGTGGCGGAATCTGTCATTTCCTCCAAGCCTCCAAGGGGCAGTGAACTAAGGGAATTGAGTTTGACGGCAACGGGCCGTACCATTGGCAGTCCCAGCCACACAAATACGCACCACCTGCTGTTTAAATTGCACTCCAGTGTGGTAGGGCTTGACCATTTTGAATTACCTTTCTTTGACCATCTTGTGACAAGTTTCCCCTACAATGGAAAAGGAGAGGATAGAAGCCCTCCCTCCACCCAATTTCTGAGAGCACCTTTGTTTGCTGGCGCTCAAAGCGTGACGGAGGCGAGATCTGGTGCCACATCTCCCACTCAGCCAATAACTGCATTCCTGCAATCAGCTTCGAGCAGGGCTGGCCAATCAGAGACTACTTGGGCTACTGACTCTGGAGTGGATGCTTGGGCAACTGTGCTTCCACGAACTATGCACGCAGCTGTCCTGACCAAAGCGGTGCCACAGGCGGCTTTGTCTGGACTAAGTGATGCTTTCTGGGATTGTGACCAAAGCAATGAGACCCGGTGTGACAAACACACGTTGACTTCCACTGACCAGCCATTTGCAGGCTCAAGCTCAGCCACCAGGTCCCCAAACTCCAGCCAAGAGTCTATTACTCAGAGCATTGCCAGTCACCCCGAGTCACTTCTGCCTCCTGAATCGCACAGATTTGTGGAAGACAAGCCTGCTATGCCTACAACGGCATTAAAGCCTCTTCCAACACCGCCTGTTGATGACTATCTGCCGACAGCAGCTTCCAATGAGATATCAGTGGGCGTCACCGAAGTTGCCTCCTGCCTATGTAAAGCTCGCTTTCATGTTTCATGTCCGTGTGGACTCTTCCCTGGGAACAGTATGTTTTGCAGAAACACGCTAGATATAGAACAAAAAAGTGTCCTTCTTCATGTTGAATCTCTGCTTTGAATGGTGGCATGGTGGCATGAAATCGTAGTATTTCTTTGAATCAGTGCTACCAGGCAATGAAATAGTTTCAGATATCTGATCATAGAACATTAACAAGGTTACTTAACCACAAGCTGTAGCATATTGGCACACCGCATACTTAAAACTGCTCACTGTGGTACAAGCATTACCACACCCTCCTTTGATTACAATTTTCATTGTTCGGTTTTCCTAGGAGACTTCATTTTTTATGTTGGACCGAAAACAAAGCATTTCGCTAATCCAGTAACACATGTTCTAGAGTATTGCAAAATGTGTTGAACCAACAAATGAAGTTTGATGTGGATCAGCATATTTTGAACCATAATACTTCCCTTAAAAGGACTGAGATTTTTACATGGGAGTCTCCTAAGAAAGTTGTCAGCATGACCATAGAGATGCACTGTAGCTGAGCACTAACAACCAGCTCTACTCAGGAGCCATCTTGTGGTGACTGTGTGGCATAGCAGCAGACAACCAAAAAAGTTCTTGCTGCATATGTAGGGTATTACAACATAATACTTCTATGACTTATACCAATTTTTGCTATTTAAATATATAATAATGCAGTAGCGTAGTGTTATATGCTGTTAATGGAGTTTACGAATTTATACAACACCCCCCAATGTCCCTGTAGAGCAGGGGTGTCAAACTCCAGTCCTGGGGGGCCGGAGCCCTACACATTTTTGAGTTTCCCCTCATTCAACACACCTGGTTCAGCTCCTTGCACCTCCTTGTGCTCATTGCCACACAGCTCTTGAGCTGAATCATTTGTGGTGGAACAGGGAAAGAACTAAGCTACACAGGGCTCCGGCCCCCCAGGACTGGAGTTTGACACCCCTGCTGTAGAGACTCTTGTAGGGACTCTTATCTGATCTCCCACTCACAGATTACCCTCTCAGGCTAATAAGATCATGTGATCATGGTCAGTCACTACACTGTACACTGCTATGCAACACAGAAGGCAATGTGTGGTGGTGACTTCTTTCACTGCCTTAGCTTGGAAAAGATAAGAAAGTCCCCCCTTCCTTGTCCCCAGAGGCAGAGTTCCACAGGATAACGTTTGACGTGACTGATGAGCAGGGGCAAATGGCTGAAGACATGGTGAAGAATACTGTACAGCTCTGGGTAGGGTTGCGCTTGTATTCATTTTCCTTTTCAGAAGTATTTTTGCCGATAAACTTAATATGTTAATATGTAAATCGAAGCCGGTGCATTATGTAAAGTAGAATGAAAATACGTATTTCTATTTGCAGCTGAATCAAATATTTAAAAGCTGGCCGGATTCCTTTATTTCTTTCAGGTGAGACATTATTAATTTTAATGATACTTTATTTATCATTAAATATAGGGAGATTCTCTTTTGCCAACCCCATCCGACCCTCCATAACACACATAGCACCCATGCAGCTGGAGGGTTAAGGGCTCACAGATGGGGGATATTCTCAAAGGCCAGGCTTCAACAGGCAACCTTCCAATCATTGGCACATAGGCTTAGCCCACTGAGCCACACACTGCCATATCCAGATGCCGTACCAAAGGGAAATATTTGTTTTTTTTCTTTACGATGAAGCCTGATTGTTCTGATATCCATTGTAATCCTTCGTTTTTTTTGTGTGTGTGTGTGTCTTAGAGTTCAGCCAAGACCGGCGGACGATAAAAGGTAAACAGACATAGCTGCAGTTTCGCGGTCGGTCCTGGTTTGTTGGCCTGTCCTCCTCTTTTAGCATCTTTCTTCTCCTGCAGCTACACGTGCCAAGTCTTGCTGAAGTCCAGATTGACAGACACCACTCTCAAGGTTGACACGGTGATTCAGAGCAAGACCTTGGGGGAGGAACTGTCACTGGAGAACGTTACGGTCCAGCCTGTCGGTACGGGATGGTGCCTTTCACTTATTTATCTGCCCTGCAGTGTGGAAGATCTACTTTTGCTTAATAGCACTGTCACAACAATATACTTCTGCTGCCCTCCATGCTATGAACAATGAGGGAGGCAGTGGGGGAAACAATGTCAGCAGGGACTATGCTGTTACCGTCCTGCCTCGTATCAATGCAGGCTAAAAAAATCAGCATAATGACGGGCTGCCTAAATTTAAGTCACCTAGGTTTAAGCTCCGTCAGCGATTCTTGGAACGTTGTGAGAAATTGAGCTGAATGCAAGTTCTGGTACGTCTGTGCTTTTCTAGAAAACTGTGAAGCTGAGAGCAGCCCTTTGTCTTACAAATGGTCTGAAAGCAAGCCGACCGTCACCCAGTTCTTACCGTGCTTCACAAACAAAGAGCAGAATGCCTCCCGGACGTGGTAGGTCCCGCCACACAGTCCCCGTGGGTCTTATTCCGGAGCGCCGCTTGACCAGTGTGCCTCATGTCAATCTGTGTTTCTTCTCAGCATGATAAACTGGCAGAACTACACGTCATTCTGGGGCCCAGCTGATGTCAGTAATTGTGATATTGAACACATCGTGGTTTCCCCAGGTACGCCTATTTTAAACCTGATTGTGACTTAAGGTGTCAGCCGTGTACTGGGACAATCCTTTACCCAAATGAACGATTGCTGGAAGGTAGCATGATGGCTCAGCAGGGACCTGTGTAAGCTTATCACTCCGTGCTTTGGATTGGAGCCTTGCTCTGTCAGTACAGAGTCTGCTGATTCTCTTGTCCCCGTTGGGTTTTCGTTCCCAAGGACGTGCTGTACTGGTGAATTAGTGATGTCAAATCAAGCTCAGTCCATGTGGGAATATCCTTCACTGCTAAGTCACCACAGGCTGGAAAACACCATTATGCTTATTGTGCAACTGGTTCGGTACCGTTTTATTATACATGATTTGGAAATGATAGACTCAGGATCATTTCATTGACTAATGACTGAACACATTCGAGTATATTATTTTAAAATTGTAATTGTTTTTCGTTTCCTTTCTGTTTCTTTACAGAAAATGCAGCAGAAGTTGCCTCCGATTTAGCTGGCATGACCAACAACAATCTCTCAACAGAAGATGTGTCGATGGTTGTGACAAAACTGAAGGATATTATTAATGTGGCCAAGATCAACAGCACCTTGGCGTCCACCATGGTGACGATCTTCTCCAATGTGATGACAAGCTCCAACACGGCTCTCGCCACCTCATCTGAGATGTAAGCTTTGTGCTTCACACGTACGAGCAGATAGAGTGAACCGTGATCCTCTTGGTTTAGATGTTTATTTTGCGCCTGTCGGCACTAGGATGCTGAAGACGGTGGACGAGCTGGTCCTGAAGATCGAGTTTGAGGGAACTTTCCTCAGCATCACCTCCAAAAACTTGGCCCTGGGCATCTCAGCGTTCAACTCCAGCAGTTTCAATGGGACGTCGTTCAGCGCGTACATCCCTGCCAACAGCACTGACCTCCAGGTACAGGACCTGAAGGAAACCATGCTCTTTTAAAATGATGGGGAAGGGTGATTCCTCCTCAGTGGCTCTTTTAAAAACTGTGACAAGTCCGTCTCTCATAGTTGTAACCCATGATATTTGTATAACTGTCTTCCTTGCTCTTATGTGTTTAGTTTAATTATGCACAAATTGGCAGAGGTTACAATTAAATATAAATTCTGGAGAACGTCATTACAGTCGTATTCAGGGTGAAAAGAAAGCTTACACTTAAGCCCAAAATTATTCATACCCCTGACAGATTTAGATTTAAAGTGATTTGTTATTTAAGCTACAGCTTTCTTCTGACTTGAAAGGACACAGACATGTGTCAGAATGTGGTACAACAATGTGCTAGAGATATTAATGAAAAAAGAAATTATTTCTATGTTTTATTAACATTTTTAAGAAAAATGGCATGTCTGAAATTATTTATACTGATTGCAAATAGTCCACAATGCTCTAGGACATTCTAATTACCCTGATTAATTGTGAACAGCTGTTTTGAATTAACTTAAGTATAAAACAGCAGCTTTCTGCAGTTCATCTGTGGCAAGTCATGGTTAAAACAAAAGAGCGCGCTGTGGACCTGCATGAGCGCGCTGTGGACCTGCAGGAGCGCGCTGTGGAGCTGCATGAGCGCGCTGTGGAGCTGCATGAGCGCGCTGTGGAGTTGCATGAGCGCGCTGTGGACCTGCAGGAGCGCGCTGTGGAGCTGCAGGAGCGCGCTGTGGAGCTGCAGGAGCGCGCTGTGGAGCTGCATGAGCGCGCTGTGGACCTGCATGAGCGCGCTGTGGACCTGCATGAGCGCGCTGTGGAGCTGCAGGAGCGTGCTGTGGACCTGCAGGAGCGCGCTGTGGCTGCTCACAACTCGGGAAAGTCCCAAAAGATCGTTTCCAAATGTCTTTCAGTCCCAGTGGCCACAGTACAAAGTATTATCAACAAATATAAGAAGTTCTACATTGTGGAAAATTTCAAAGCATGTTGTAGGAAGTCAAAAGTGACCCCTGCGCAGACAAGGCTGATGGCGCGAGAGGTGAAGAAGAATCCCAGGATCACCATTAAGGCCGTCCTGACGACTCCGGGCCACGTTGGTGCTAACATCTCAAGGCAGACAGTCCAATGGGTACTTGGTTCCACACATCAGACCGAGGAGGACACCACTTCTCCAAAAAAGACACACGAAAGCACACTTAGCCTCTGCAAAAACTCATCTGGTCAAAGAACAAGACTTCTGGTTCTTCTATTTTGTGGTGAAAGTGAATGAAAATAGAAATGTTTGGCTGCAACGATGTGGCTTTTGTTTGGTGTAAAAAAGGAGAAGCATTCAACCCCAAGAACACCCACAGTCAAGCATGGCGGACATTCCTACGGTCAAGCATGGAGGACATCCCTACGGTCAAGCATGGAGGACATCCCTACGGTCAAGCATGGCTGACATCCCTACGGTCAAGCATGGCTGACATCCCTACGGTCAAGCATGGAGGACATTCCTACGGTCAAGCATGGAGGACATTCCTACGGTCAAGCATGGCTGACATCCCTACGGTCAAGCATGGAGGACATCCCTATGGTCAAGCATGGCTGACATCCCTACGGTCAAGCATGGCTGACATCCCTACGATCAAGCATAGCTGACATCCCTACGGTCAAGCATGGTGGTGGGAACATAATGCTTTCAACATGTCATTGATCCAAAACACACAGCTCAAGTGATCAAGAAATGGTTAGCTGGCAATAATATTAATGTTTTGGAGCCGCCCAGTCAGAGTCCAGATTTGAATCCAATAGAGAATCTGTGGGAGCTAAATATTGGGGTGATGGCAAGGAGGCCTAAAAGACTTGGAGCTCATCGTGAAAGATGAGCAAATCGTCAGAAATGCCAATGGAGACATGCAACAAGCTTGTCAGTAATTATAAGAAGTGTTTGATTGCTGTAATAGTAATAAAGGCTTTTCCATTAACTATGGAGAAGGGTATGAATAATTTTGGGCATGCCAATTCTCATTCAAATCTAAATAAAACATAAACATTGTTTTTTTCCCCCAATTATACTCCTTGTATATTGTCTTATCATCTTTTGGGACATGCCTGTGTCATTTCCAGTCAGAAGAAAAATAAAATCCTCCAAGGTTCTGCAAAGAACATTTTTACAAAAACTGCACCTGTAAAGCAGACTCTTACAAGTCAAATGTAAATGACACTGAAATCATACTATGTGATTAAAGCATTTTCTGTGGAAAGTGCAGGCAAAGTAAACAGGTAAAGCATACCATTGAATAAACACATATATTTAATTACACCTTAAAAGATTGCACTGCAGAAGTGACCCGTTGAAATCGATGTTATCTTATAAGAAGTGAAATAATGACATCACACAGCGTTTTCTTCATTTGTTGTGGACACAGGGACATTGAGATCATTGTGACAAGTAGCATGTTTAAATCATCGTCTTGATTTCTTGTGAAGTGTGCATTAGTACCAATGGCTTCCCAGTGCATTTTCTGCCCTTAAGACACCAAGAACAGGTAGGATGTTGTCATGACTCCTCAGTAAGGCCCTTATCAGAAAATCCACCCCAAAAGGAGAGATACACAGAGAGAGTGGGTAAGATTTAAAAACAGCAACACAAATGACTGCAGTAGATGGATGTGCTGAGCAGGTTATCTCCCTCCCACAGATCAACTTTGAGTCGAGTCAGCAGAATTCCCTGGCGACTGTTACCCTCCCGTCCACTTTGCTGAGCAATTTGAGCTTCGTAGAGGCAGATGTTCTCTCCCGGATAAACTTCATGTTCTTCAACAACACTGGGCTCTTTCAGGTCAAACCATTTTATAGCCACATTTACTGTATAAGGGGACATAATTACAAACCAAGTACCTGATTATGAAATATGTTTACTTAAAGCATGACGGTGTCATTTTAATTATTTAATGGGATTGAGTAGCACTGAGTTAGAATGATATTGTTGCATTTCAGATCTAATGATTGACTTTCCGTGGATTGCAATGACACAGAAAATGTATTTCCTCAGCTATACAATTTTCTAAATATTTTTTTTATGTGACTTTTTAGGAAAAAACGGACAATGGCTATTTCTTGAACAGTTATGTGGTGGCTAGTAGTATGGGCAATCAATCCATAAACAACCTTCAGGACCCAGTGGAGATTGATATTGTTCACCTGTCACCCAAGGTACTGGAAGCCCAGCTGTTATCCAATAATGTGGCAACGTGCCTTTGCAGAATGTTTGTAGAATTTTAGTGTTAAGGTAATGCAAATTAATTTGCAGACTTACAAAGAGAGCTAATAAAATTCTATGTTTGGTTTATGAATTTGCAAATTTAAAAGCCAGAATTCTTGATTTTTCTAGCCTGCAGCAAGTATAGTGAAATGTGTGTTTTGGGACTTCAATTTCAAAAGTAAGTTTTTGCATTTAAATTTTTATGTTATTACAGTCCATTTCTGCAGTGTTAGGCCTGAATATGAATTAGATAAAATAATTGGTAATGCATTAAGGCATTCAGCTGCACACTTATAACACTTTCATAATGCATTCATTGAACATTCAGTACACTTTCATAATGCATCCAAAGAACATTCATAAGCAGCAAGTATAACATCCTAACAAACTTTAACAGCTTTAATATATATTAACAACAAACATCATACAATTATATGATTATAATGTTTGTTATTAGTGTATTTTAAATCTTTTAAGGTATGTTAGGATGTTACGGTATACTTACATGCTGCTTATGAATGCTCTATGAATTCATTATAAAAGTGTAGTTAAAGTAAAGCATTACCAAATGATTAAATGTCATGCATGCATTGTTCATTGGAGGTAAAGAAACAGTTTGCATGGTTTTCAGTATAACCTACAGATCATTTCTACTGAGATGAGAACAATGTTGCTCAGTTGTGGGTTGACTGTGGACGTCTGTGCAAACAACATGGGATTGTTCCAGCACCCTTTCGTAAGGCTTCCTGTAACTGACTTGCCTTTGTTCCCTTAAGATGGCAGTGGGGGCTGGAACTCCGGGGGCTGCAGCCTTAGCCGGTCCAAGTCCACCGCCAGCCGGACAGTCTGTCTGTGCAACCACCTCACCCACTTCGGAATCTTAATGGTGGGAGCCTCGTCTTCCTGGGCGTGATGCGTTGCTTCTATGTGAAATTACGCTTCAGCAGCATCTGTCCCTCTTCTACATTCTCTGCCACAGGATATCTCAAGATCTTCCGAGTTGCTCAGTGACAAGAACAACGAGGCCCTCACCTTTATCTCGTACATCGGCTGTGGCATCTCTGCCATCTGCTCTGCGGTGACCCTCTTCACGTACATTGCGTTCGAGTCAGTGCTCCCTCGCCGAAAATGCCTGTGCTCCCATTCATCATCCGCGAATGGCACCTTCATCTCCTAAATCAGGGACTCCCCAACCTCACCTTGGCTACTCTGAGTCAGAAAATTCATTTTATTTTATTTCACCTCCCGCATGCCAAATTTAGCTATTTACTTTGGTTAGTCTAATCAGTGTCCTGCAATGGACTGGTTTCTTGTCCAAGGCGTTTCCTTGCCTGGTGCCTTCTGCAGCTTATAGGATGGGTTCCTTGTGACCCTCTCCTGGGTTAGCGGGTGGAAAATGGAAGAGTAGTAGAATAATTTAATCAGGTGGAAGAATGCATCACATATGCAATATCTGGTGGTGCCGAACCCTGGAAGATGGGCTCCCCTTTGAGTCTGGTTCCTCCCAAGGGTGGACATGGGCTCCCAAGGGTTCTTCCTTCCTTTTCCTTTTCTTTGCCACTGTCGCCTCTGACTTGCTGACTGGGGGCATTGGGCAGGGATAATGTGAAGCGCTTTGAGACGATGTAATGTTGTGAAAATGCTCTTTTTGAATTGAATTGAATTGAGTTGAGTTGAGTTGAATTGAGAGGTTGGGGAATCATTAGTTTGATACATGCTTTGTATCCCAAACTTCACGTTCTAACCTGGAATTTCACTGTACTTTGCAGAAAACTGCGTCGAGACTATCCATCCAAGATCCTGATGAACCTCAGTACCTCGCTGCTGCTCCTCAACATGGTGTTCATCCTGGACAGCTGGCTGGCCCCTCTCAAAGCAGATGGCCTTTGCATCTCAATGGCAGCATTCCTGCACTTCTTCCTGCTCACCACCTTTACCTGGATGGGCCTGGAGTCCATCCACATGTACATAGCCTTGGTCAAAGTTTTTAACACATACATACGGAGGTACATCCTCAAGTTCTGCCTTGTGGGATGGGGTAAGTGGTGTCTGATATTGCAGTGTCAAAACTCTTAAACGAATAACAGTAATTTCCCTCTCAAGTAGACATTGGCCGTATGGTGTATTCAGTGAACATGCATGTTAAACTGAAAAGGGAAAATGTGGGAATGTGCTCACTCACTAGGTGTTTGATGTTTCCAGGACTGCCAGCTGCCATAGTGGTCATTGTGGTCTCCGTGGATAGAAACTTTTATGGAAAGTTGAACTATCAGAAGGACAACGGAGAAGACTCATCTCAGTTGTAAGTGCCAGGCAAAAAAAAAAAACATAGTAACACTGTGCTTGAGGGGGCACATGTAACTTAGCTACTCAGTTACTACTCAAGTACAGATCATGAACAGATTTAGTAACTGCATGAAATACATGAACCGTCATGATTGATTAATGATGAATGAACGTGGGATCAGTATGTAACTAACACTTAGTTTCTGGTTAATTAATGGATTAAGTAAACATGTACACTCAGTGACAAAAAAGTTAGCCGGAGTGGTGGAAATGAAATTAATCTGCATGTGGTGAAAAGTCATGTGACTGTATTGCAATGATTATAATACCAGATCAAACGGACAACAGAGTTGACGGTATGGGCACACAGCTGGTCCCATGTCAGTAGAGTGTAGCCCCTCCCCGGGCCTGGATACATATGGCGATATGGTGCGGAAGGGAGTCTTCCAGCCATCATATCCTCTCCTGCAGCAAGTCAGCCTACAGCTGTTGTATCTGGCTCTCGAGATCCTGCAGATTGGCACTGGGTCTGAGTTGACGTCTGAGCTGATCCCACACATGTTCGACTGGAGTAGGATCGGGGGAATTGGCTGGCCACGGGAGGACCTTGTCATGACGCAGGCAGTCCATAGACACACATGCCGTGTGTGGACGGGCGTTGACTTGTTGAAAGACTGTACCAGGGTGCAGTCTCAGGAGGGGTAAGACATGCGGATGCAGGATGTCGCCATCCGGGTCCCCCAAATCACTACCAGAGATGACCTGAAGTCATCCCCTATGGCTCTCCACACCATGATGCCAGGAGTAACGCTGGTGTGTCTCTCCACAACGTTTGCTGAATTGGTCCTCTCCCCTCTGAGCCGCCATACGCGCACATGACGGTCATCCATGGTAATGCAGAACCAAGATTCATCACTGAACATGCATTCGATGCCACTCGTCATAAGTCCATGCCTCCCTGTTACGGCACCCCTCCAAACGCAGCCATCTCTGTGCTGGTATTAACGGCAGCCTATGCATGGGACGGCGAACCCGTAGTCCGGCTGATGCCAGTCGTCAAGGCACGGTGTAGGATGACACAGGGTGTTGAAGATAGTCCAATACTTGTGTCTGGAAGGCAGGCGCAGACGTCTTGATGTTCTGTAATGCTTGGCACACAATACGACGATCCTCCTTTGCTGTGGTCTGTCTTGGGCGACCGGAACCTTCACGATGTGTGTGGGTGCCCTCATGTGCCCATTGGTTCCAACATTGGGCGACTGTGACATCTGCATGGTCCACATGCCAGACAATTGCATTATATGACCACCGGGCCTCATGAAAACCCACAATGTGACCCCTATCAAACTCTGTCAAGTGCTGGTAATGCTGTGTAATGTGTCTATGAGGCATCCTCTATGTCTGGTGACTAGACCTGCCAGCTCTTTGCACATCGAATCATTGACATACCCATCACTGGTCTGCATATGTACCAAATTACATCCAAATCGGACCATTACTTCTGGGTGCTTAACATTTTTGTCACTGAGTATATTACTACACTATTTGTGTCCCCTGAGCTGAAGTGTAACCAAAAGCACTGTACTGGATATTAGGTGATATCTCCAGTGCCCTCACTGCCGGGGTCCTTCATGCGCTTCCTTCATAGCTGCTGGGTGAAGGATCCGGTGGTCTTCTACGTAACATGCGTGGGCTACTTCTCCGTCATCTTCCTAATGAACGTGGCCATGTTCATCGTGGTCATGATTCAGATCTGCGGTCGCAACGGCAAGCGCAGCAACCGCACGCTGCGAGAAGAGGTTCTGCGCAACCTGCGCAGTGCTGTGAGCCTGACCTTCCTGCTCGGCATGACCTGGGGCTTCGCCTTCTTCGCCTGGGGCCCCGTGCAACTGGCCTTCCTCTACCTCTTCTGCATCTTTAACTCCCTGCAAGGTGAGACTCCACACCTCCACCTACCTTCTCAGCTTTTCATTACCTTCTCTTTGTTTTTGAAGCAGTTCCTTCTATTTCATTATCATGGACACAGGTAACACGCTCATTAGCATATGGATCAAGGCTGCTCATTCCTGCTCCTCTCTGCCACCTTACATGCAGCCTTAATTTAACGCACCTGATACAGATGATCAAGATAATTTTTGTATTATAGGCAGCTATGTAAACATATCACAGTGGAGGATCACTGATGGTTTGGGCTGTAATATCATGGCATTCCCTAGACCCGCTGCTTGTTCTAGGTGGGCGGGTCACTGCCCTGGACTACCAAACCATTCTGGATGACCATGTTCAGCCAGTGGTCCAAACATTGTGCCTTGAAGGTGGTGCGATGTATCAGGATGGTAATGCACCAATACACATATACACAGACTGGTGGTTTGATAAACATGAAAGTTGAACATCTCCCATAGCCTACAGTACACAGATCTGAATATTACTGAGCCACTTTGGGGTGTTTTGGAGGAGCGAGTCAGGAAACGTTTTCCTCCACCAGCATGATGTAATGACCCGCAGTCACTGTTCTGCAAGAGGAATGGCTCAGAATCCCTCTGGTCAGTGTGCGGGACTTGTATCTGTCATTCCCAAGACGAATTGATGCTGTATTGGCCACAAAAAGAGGCCCTACCCCATAATAATAAGTTATTGTGGTTTAAAACCAGATTTTTCCAGTTTCATTGTCAAACCCGTGTATATCACGGCTCTGCAGGGTGGTACTGTACTGTAAATCTCCAAGAGCAGAAATGAGCACTCTGATTGTGATATAAATTCAAACTGATCTAGCCAGTACCTGTGCATGATCTCCTCTGTTCCACCAGAGGGCGCCACCAGATCAATAAATGAAGCCTGTCTTTTTCAATAAACCTTTTTAGTATTATTTTTAGTATTAATAATAAAATTATTCCAATTTGTAAGATATCAGGAATAAGGTGATGTTTACTGTTTTATTTCCCCCTTTTTTTTACTCTGCAGGATTGTTCATATTCATATTTCACTGTGCTTTGAAGGAGAATGTTCAGAAGCAGTGGAGGAGATACCTTTGCTGTAGCCGATTCCGTCTGCCAGACAACTCAGGTAAAGCGGGAAGGGCAGCCGAGCTCCGTTACAGCTTCCGCTTGGAGGACAGTCCTCTTATCGCTCACGTCATTTAAAAGACCTCATTATATTAACATTATCATTATATTACTCTAAGTTGCTTTATTTCAAAACCAGAACATCCATATTCTGAAGTATTAAATACTTTATAACATAGTACTATCAATGTACTATTATTAATACTCATTAATTAATATTATGTGGACCTTTTCCTATTTTATTGATTCTAGTCAAATTTAGTCACTTAAGCATATTTCGTATGACTTGTTTATAAATATATATATATTAAAAATGAAATAAAATGTTGAAGGGTATCTTTGCGTAATTTATTATACAGTCTTTAATGGAGAAAAACAAATGCTTTATAGAACTGAGTTGACACTGAAAGGTTTTACTTCGCAGGTGGTGTTCTTACAGCGCCATCCGGTCCTTTCCATACTGATGTTCATTGCAGCCGTGAAATTCATTATTTACGATGCCTGGAAGTCTTATTTTAGCTCACTGTTGTCCTCACTTTATGACTACCCTGAAATACAGCAAATCCCGTTTCATTGCCATCTTCTCCTTACACTAAAACAACCTGCACTGTTGAATTCCGCATGACTAATCTTCATAGTCATCACAGTATACAAGGAACTACACAATGGAGTGTGTATATAATATCCTGGCCTCGTTCCGGTTTACACTGGTGCTGGTGCATATTCTAAGCTGACCTTATGTGTGGTTTCAGACTGGAGCAAGACAGCCACAAATAACACGAAGAAGGTCAGCTCGGACAATTTCGGGAAGTCCCTTTCCTCCTGTTCATTCGGCTCCAGCACGGCTAACTGGACGTCCAAAGCGAAGCTGACCTTTAACCCCTTTACCAAGCGAAGTAGCCATGCAGGTAAGATGTTTGTGGCTCTGGCACCGCGTGACGTCGCTCATCTGCGCGTCACCCCAAAGGAGGTGGGAGGCTGTCACTCCTTAAAAGGTTCAGGCTTTAGTGTGTAATAATTTCCCTGGAAAGTCATAGCTTTTTATCTCTTAGTTATAATCAGGTGTATCTGGCACTAGGTAGTTTGGACACATTTTTTCCACTAGATCTCTGGAAGATGATTTGCTATGTGCGTGATTTAAGTTCCCAGAGCTGCTAATATGGGGATGGCGTGTGGCTGAGCGGGCTGACCCTCTGTGCCTGTGATTCTCATGGTTGCAGGTTCAGGCCTGGTTCAGGTTCAGGCCTCGGCAGAATAGTCACGTGTCCAAAGGTCCTTGAGCAGGGTCATAACCCCCAGCTCCCTGGGTGCCACTCGATGGATGCCCATTCAGCACAAACCCCCCCAAAGCTTGTGGAACTCGATGGCAAAGCAATGCAGGGTCCCCACAGGGATAATAAAGTCCTATTCTATTTAATATCAAACTTATTATTCTTCAAATGTATATCAGTTGTATTAATTGGCGTTCTGGAAAATTAATACTTTTTTACACTTTATTTTTTTGCCAATTTATCCTTTAGCTTATTCTTTAGCAGTTTGACCCAGAACACCTTTATCCCCAGATTCATCCAATGCAATTGGCCCCGTCCCTTTATAGAGATGAGGAGATGTCGTTCCTATTCTCTGCCCCCATGTCGTGCCACATGCGTGTCCTCCTGATGTCTCGATGAACCTCTGAAGCGGTGCCTGATGCTTCTGTTTATGTTTGTGGTATAGATATTGCCCACCAATAGTATGAAGGTGAACCTTCTGGAGGTAATGCCCATCTCAGCCAGCTTCACTTCATGCTTTCTGACATTGTGTGATCGACCCTTTGCCAAAGGACAAAGAGTGCAACATTTTAGCTCTTCAAGGAACAAGGCACAGAACTATTTACAGACGCTGCCTCTGGATAATGAAATAGTTCTTTGGACAATTTACATCAAGTATTTAGCTGCGTCGCATTAATAGATTACTTGATCTTTATGTTCAAATCAGAATATGGAATTTTAAATGTGACATATTTACGGAGCTGGGTATTTGGCCAAATTCATCATTTCAAGTTGTGGTACCTGGTTCATCAGTCCAGGCATTAGCAAACTTTCAGACATGATTGATTCACCTCACCTAAAGAGCAAGTATTAAGCTAATAATAAACTTAGCATGTGATTTAGTGCCATGAAAACCAAACTCAACTGAAGTAAGAGGAAATGTAGCAGATTCATTTCCTCATTCCTGTCTCTTGAAGGGTCTAAAGGTTGCATTCGCTCGTACTCCACTAATCTTTGGGCCACCAGGGGAAGCTTTTGTTTTCTGTCTGCTCTGCGTCTAGCACAGAAAACACAAGTCTTGCACTGCAGCAATGGAATGGCACATTGAAACCATATACAGAGTATGCAGTCCAGAGTGTTGCCCGTGGCATCGTCTGATAGCATTTTTACAATTCGACAGCATATTAACCGGGATTTATGGCCTCATAATTAAGAAGCTGCGTTTCCTGCAGCACATCATGTATATGGTTTTTGCTCAGTTAGTTTCATACGGTGCTGACGCTTGGACCAGTTTACGTGTTCCTGCACAGTTTTAACAGTATACTTCTAATATGTTTCGGTTAACCACGGTGTTAGTGGCTGATGTTTAATCGCATCTCGTGATGTTCTGTTGTAACCCACTGTAGGTAAATGATCACTGTAATGAAAGCAAACTAATAGTCCCAAAGAAAAGGTTCAGGAGTTAGGAAAACTTGCATGTTGACTTAAGAAAGCACGCAAATAATTGGCATATGTCATATGCTGGGGTTTTGAAGTGCTGAGACTTTCATATTCATATTCGGGGGTCTTTCTAATTTATATTAAAATTATTAATTTGCATCTCACACTAGGGATTTTTTGCTGTTTTTTTTTTTTTTGCAAAGCCATAAAAAACAGTTAAAGTACTTTTTACTATGTAGTATAAAGCAGGATTTTTCAACCTTTACAACCCCAAGGTTATTTAACTTGTTTGTGGCCTGTACATTTCACAAACCCATCAGTAAATTTTTTGGGGGTGGGGTGTTCCCCCTTGGTAAATTTTGCAGATCCGGGAGTGACCCCCTCGGTAATTATTGCTGACCAGGAAATTTTTTCTCAGGTTGGCATCTATTAGGGGTCAAGCTGCACTGGAGCCCCCCCACGGCCCCCCACTGGGTCAGTGACCAGTGTTTGAGAAACCCTAGTATAGAGAACATTGTCCTGTGCTCATGTGTTGTGGGACTACGGATTTTATTTCCTTTTGAATCATCAACATAACTAAATTAATCTCAGTTGGTCCATTTCGTACAAGCGTGTTTCAGATGTGGGGTAACATTTTGGGTGGGGTGCGTTCTGCATGCAAATGTCCGGTCCTGTGATTGCTAAAGTCAGAATGTTTTCCAGAAAAAATAACTGCTTCATTTTCTTATGAAAAGTGGGGAAGGGGATCTTTGTCTTAAAGCCTGTTTACTTTGGAAATAGTCCTCTTGTCAAGTCTTTCACAAGACTTCAGAAAAGTTGGACTCAAATCAATTCCATGCAAACTCAACCAGCCTTGTTATTGTACTAATGACTGAGTCAACATGTTTACAGTTCTGGGTAAATTCTATAACAAAAGAATAGTCCGTAAGAAGAGTATACCTACTGTACCCTTACTAGTATGCTTTCTGGTGCACTAGGACAAGGTTTACCAACCTAGTCCTCAAGGATCCCTAGACAGTCCACATATTTGCACCCTCCCAGCTCTCTGCCAGGAAAATTAAATTTTCCTCCTTCCAGCTCCCAGTAGGGAGCAAAAACGTGGACTGTCCCGGGATCCCCGAAGACCTGGTTGGGAATCACCACACTAGGACATGCCCGTAACCCAATAACGCTAGCAGAGACTTTGATAAAATGGCATTGATTCTAGCCGTCTAATACTCCAGCAGTGTTGGCATGCCTTTCTCTGTTCTCTCGTGGCCAGGTAAAGGCTTCTGTGGCCAGGGGAATGTAAAAGTGGGCCTGTCAGAAGCAGATACGTCCTCCATCCTCCCCGTGCATCAGGTCATCGACAAGGTGAAAGGGTACTGCTCAGCAAGGTCTGACAATTTCTACAAGAACATCATCATGTCAGACAGCTTCTATGACAGCACTAAGTTCTAGACGGACCTCACCTTGCCCTCCGTCACGCCTGAGGCCTGGTTCTCCCTGCTCATCGAGAAAACCAAGAAAACCTAAAATGAACGGCAGTATCTTCACCCACGTTACTGGTGAGACTGCGATGGAAAATGACGAATATTATGGGAAATGTACACTTGTGTAGAGACGAAGGGTTTGGCATTTTAATACTGTGATGTAAAGCTTTCTTCCTTATTCGATGGAACACATGTAGTGATTGTCTTTAATTATGAACCGAATTGGATCAAGCCCCTCCTTTTTCACCAATGCCACTGAGAAAGGGTGGGGCTGGACTAAATTTGTTCACCGACGTTAATGGCAAATCCATGATGCTCGAGTCGAATCAGGACATTGAACTGGTCACCTGTTTTATAAATATTTATGGCTTGTGCCTTTTCTAATTGCTTCCTGTGCCTGCAGTTTTTTTGCATGTACAGTAAGAGATGCCTTATTGTTTCCCGTGAGCGGCTCAGTTTCCTTTTGTATGTGGGACTGTTCTGTGCTGGATTCCGGAAGTCTCTGTGTTCTCCGCAGCCTTTAAAAGGAGAAGCTGGGTGACAAGAAATTTGGACTGACAGGTCTTCCTAAAAAAAAACCCACAAAGACTGATGGAAGATGTGGGATTTTTAACCACGTTACAGTTCCCATTCTGAAGGGGAGCAACCGCATTGTTTTGTTGCGTTATTAATGTTTTGTTTGTGAACTTTGTGACATTGCTGTAAATCCTTTGTAAACTGTTTTGAGGTCAATTTGGAATTATATTGTTCATGTTTGAGCTTTCGCCTGCAGATTCTCTACTACTGAGTAACGTATACAAGGTAAAATGGTGTTGGATATTTTGATGCTATTTATTCAACTTATAGATATCAGAAAAAAAAACAATAAAAATAGTATCAGTTTTTGCTTAGACTCACAGAGAAGCTATGCAGTACCACACCAAATAAAGAAACATTTTTTTCCTAGAAATAGGGCTTATTCATGCATTCCTTCAACGGCCAATGTTAATAGTGTATGTCAAATCTACACTTTATTTATGTTCTCCATAAATATTACTGTGTAATGCATCATAGCTTTTTTTTTTCTAAAATATTTTTATATTTATGTCCACAGTGGCTGAGTACAATCTGGTACATTGTCTTGTAAAAGGATAACATTAAAAATGAACAATATTGAAGTGTCAGTTAATCCAAACAGAGGGATTTGGACCAGTTATTTATCCCGTTACTGTCCCCCAATAAGCAGCAAATGTCACTGATGTGTTTGTGTACAGTCATGTGTAGAGAGATAAATGGGGTAATGTAATGTTCCTTTTTTATAATCATTGTGTCATAGCAGTTCATTGTTGGATTGTTGCGCTGATAAATGCTGTTCTATTTCCATACAAAATACGGTGGGCCAAATATCTCCTACTAAAATGTACAATGTATGCTTCTTTTAATGTGTCTCAATTTGTCATTTTGCATGTGTGCAGCAATGCGGAATACAGAAAGCACTTCTCTAGTGAAGAATGCAAGCTCAAAGGTGTTAATCAGCAGTGTCATCAAGAAGTGTATATATTTGCACAAATGATCAGACGTAGACAAGAGCCAAATGATGATCACAGCAGGGCAAAAACATGCTGGAGTCAAAGGTCACATGAGTCGTTTTTTAAGAGCAACCAAGTTTCACGAACATGCATGTATGTTATTTGAAATTCAGCAGGAGACAATTTATATGTGACAGATCGCCGTGGGTTTTCGGAACATGCCAGATCAATGATGGATGACGTTAAATGATCCAGCAGTCATATTATACAGTGCTTGAATATGCGGCTAATCCAGATTCCCAAATAAGTATACAGTACGTTTAGAAAATTCAAGGCCCGTCTTGAATAGAGTGGTAAATCCATACAAAACTCTAGAAAATGTGTGTCTGGTAACATTTTATAAATTCAATTGCAGGAGGTATGACAGATTTGCCACGCACACCCCTCTTTGAGTTTCTCCTTGTTCCTTCTTGCTTTCTCTTCTGATTCCCAGCCCAGTTGACAGCTTCACTCTCTGTGATTCTGACCAGAGCACCACAGTCCACGTTGCTCCAAAAGCTCTTCTTCACTGAACAGGACGACAGTGCGGTTGAGCACTGTTGTCTTCTTCCCTCCCCTGCCAGGAATCACACGTCATTTGGTACAATCCCTACGCAGCTGTGCAAGGAGACGGCCGCCCTCTCCTGAGCCTGTGTGCGGCATTTCCTCGCCACCATAGTTCACGGGCAGGAATCCTGCTGCCGCCTCACATCGGGCTTTTGGAGCTGCGGCAAAGCCCTGTGCTGGCATTTCGGCTCAGTGACAGCAACCATCTCGAAGTCCCATCTGTTTCCTGTGTGGGGATGGCAGATTTTACACACACAGAAGAGAACTGCACGACCAATAACCTAAAAAACAGCTAAATACCTTTCTCATCTGAATATCCCCAAGTACTGCTGATTAACATTGGTTATAACATTGGCAATATAGTGTATATATGTATAGTAATCCCATTGGATTTAAATTTCCCAGAATGGCACATTACATTCTCTGTGTACTAATGAGTCAGAAGGTGCATGTACTGTATAGCAGGGGTGCCCAATCTTACCCGCAAAGGGCCGGTGTGTTTGCAGGTTTTTGGGATAACCTTTAGGTCAGCTGTTCAAACCCAGGTGTGAGAACTCTTCA